GGGCTGCAGGGGGAAGCTCTGGGCAGTCCCCCAGCAACCTCTGCCAGCCTGGCCAGTCACAGCACCAACCTGCACATTACAATATGGGGGGGGCAGGTTCCTTGGAATCATAAGTTCAGATGCTCTTTTTTGACCTCCGTGTGATTTTAAAGTTCTTTTAGTTGCATGGTACTTACTTTCTACTTCTTAAGTAGAAAAATGGTACTTTTTTTACTTCTTAGTGTTTGGAGCCTATACTTTATTTTTATTAACAGCAGGAGAGAAAAGGTATTTAAAGCAAGAGCTGAAACCACCTCACTATGGTGTGACTCGAGGAACTGGAAGATTAAAATTATGTATATCTATCACTAGGAAATAAAAGCATTGCTTGCAAGAAAATCACAGCAAGGCTGTAATAATGCTGCTGTATCCCCCTGCCCCCCAAGAGGACCTGGTCTGGTACTGAAGAACTGACAGTAACCAACTGAACCAACTTGGGGTGATGGCTGGCAGGGAGGGTAAAAATTCTGGAGATAGTGGGTGGTGATGACTTACGGCTGTTCACCAGTATTATTCCAGCAGCTCTCAAAGCAATCACACTTTGTGCTGCACTTTCCCCTCTCGTTTACCTTCTCCCTGCCTCATCCTTCCTGCTGCAGCTGGAGAGAGAGCTGGTGCAGAAGGAAGAGAAGTTGCTAGAAACAGATCTTCTCTACGAGCACCTTTCAAGGCTGCTGAGCAGAGCCCATGCTGCAGCAGAGGACAGGAAGAAGGACACGCTGCTGATGGCTAAGAGGGTAAGAAGGGCACTACGTGCCCCGCATGCTGGCCTACACTAAATGGAGCAGTATTTGGGCAAGAGGTAAGATGACTCACTTGTGAGTTACAAAAGCAGCTGGAAATATGGACAGGCAAATCATGTTAGCCTTCAGAACATACAGACGTTTAGCAGTGATGGAAATACAGACATACCGAAACCGTTAGGTGAGTGTAATTGTTTTTTGAAAGCTGCACCACCAGTAGCAACTTTCAGCAAGATACAGGATTAGTTCTTTCTCGGGTAATATCCTCCTTTTGCACATGCACTTAACAGCCTTGCCATAGCAAACATGTCAAAGCTAAAATATCAGGAGCCAGGTGGATTCTACTCCAACACACAAAGCCAAAAACTCAGTATCTGGCTCAGTTTCTTTGTTATTTAGGCAGGGAGAACTACACAGGAAAGAAAACTCATTTTCAGCAGTTACTTTTATATAATTACAGCTATTTCCTTTTAACTGCCTATAATACTGGTTGGGGAAGAGCAACAAATCCTCTTTCCCCCACCTCCTTAAAAAAAAGCTGAAAAAAGAGTAGAACTGAGTGAAAGACAAAAAATGCTGAGTAATTCATGTAAAACAAGGCCAAGGTTGATCGTTTTTTTTCCTTAGGTGTTAGATTTGGGACTCAGGCACAAAACACATCTTCATCATAAAGCTTTAATTTTCCACAGAGAAACAACTTGACTGTTATTTGGGTTTGTGAAATCATGGCTATGGGCTAATAAACCAGTGTAAAACCAGCAGTGTGCTGGAAAGTTAGACTCAAAAGTGCTCCAACTCTCCCAATTCCCTATTAGTCACTTAAAAAAGAGTATGTTACTTTGGGGGAGTGTTGTTTAAATCCTCTCCAGTCAGACTCAGGCATTCCTGTCCCTTTCCTGTTCTGTTCGCTCCCCTGCCAAGGAGAACTTCCCCACTGTGTCCACATAATCACTCAATTATCCTGTAAGGATCAGGCTTATTGCACCCTTATTACAAAGTTAATTGTGCATAAACTCAATGAGCATCTGGGTACCAGGCTTCTGAGGGCAGCATGAGCTGTGCTGTTCAGCTGGAAAGGGCAGGAGGTAATTACACACTTGCTTCTCTGTATCTTGTAGCAGAGTCAATGCTGCCAGTTGCTGTGGGTCCAGGTGCACACAGAAACACTCCACCTGTTGCATTAAGTCATTTTCAATATAGAGCTGGTTTCTAAAACCTTGTCTGGTTGGACTTGTTGCCACATACCTAACACTTACCTGAGTGTCCTGCCCAGCAAGTGTCTTTAGGGAAGCCCTAAAGAAAATGTAATTGTTATTTATTCCAGACAAACAACACGAAGAAGAAGATAAAGGCAAGAACCCAGAAGATGATGGCTCTTGTTGCAGAGTTATCCATGCAGCAAGAGTTTGCCCTGAAACTCCAGCAGGAAGTGAGAGACAAGGAACAATTTTTGATGATTGTTTCATCAAGGATAGATCAAGGCCTTCCCCCTCCTGAAGAAACAGAGAATGAGTGCTTGAAGATACTACACAATGAGAAGATGCAAAAAGAAGCAGCTGAAGCCAGAGCTAAAGTAAGTTTTTGCCACACGTTGCAATTAATCTCTTTTCACTGCTCTAGCTTGTCTTTTGGAAAGAGCTGTGCTCACTTGCTGTGTAACTGGTTGCTGCCAAACACAGAGCTCCAGGACTCTGGAGATGATGGCACAGGCAGAGATAACTACTGAAGTGGTACACTGCAGTCCAGCAACACCCCTTAGAACTGGCCCTTGAATCTTGGGGAGACAGTACACTAAAAGGAAAACTCACCTTCGGTTATTAACGTAATTTGTGAGATCCTGTTGAGGGCTGAAGGGTGCATCCTGTGTTCCACTTGTTTTCAAGGTAAAGCTGCAGAAGGTGGGTGTGGGCTTCAGGAAAAACAAATTTAGTGTCTTCCACACACCAGAGGCAGTGAACATCAGATGAGAAGTAGCAAGAAACCAGACTGCTGGGCAAGGCACTGAGGGGAGGCAGGGCAGTGTAGCAAAGAGTGCTTCAAACTGTACCCTGCTGGGTACTTTCCTCTGTGGTTGAGACCATCAGTGATCCCAAAGAAGAAAAAGCAGTATCAAGGAGAAATGCGCATATAGAGGGAACTCTCGCTGACGGGAAATTAGCTTTGCTGTACGACTCCTTTACTTGATCATTGCAAGGGACCTGAAAGGTGCACAAAGCTGGGAGAGGTACACACTGTGCATACACTTACAAGAACCTGAACTCACACAGAAGTGCTGCAGTAAAACTGGGTTTAGGATAACAAACTTCTCTGTCATTAACACTTCTCATGCTATGATTTGGTTTCCTTTCAGTGCTGTGGATACAGCAGGTATGTCCGTGCATGCAGGTATGTCAGTGTAAATAAAGCCATTTTGAAAAATCAGAACTATCATCTTGTTCCCAAGATGTTCTGTGACACTTCCTACAAGTTTTAAAAGTTCATCTAATCTGTTTTCTTCACAAATACCAAAAGCATTAAAGGCTCAAACTGCTTAGTATTTGAAAGGACAAACTCACATCTACATAGTCAGTAACTCATGCTTTTCTTCTAATCCCCCTCTGGGCATCCTGGTTTGCTAAGGATTAGACAAGGCACTTCCTCTGCGAGGCATCCTGTACACTGGCTGAAGAGAGCACCGCAGTGTGAAGTACATAACCCCTGTTTGTTCCACAGCGCGCTGCAGAAGAGGAACAAGCTGCAGCACCCAGATACATCCGCACGACAGCCGAGCCACGGCCCACTGCCTACATCCCCAGTGACGAGCACAGCCTCCCGCTGCCGCGGCCCTACGGTGCTCTGGCTCCCTTCAAACCAACTGAGCCTGGGGCAAACATGAGGCATTTCAGGAAACCTGTGGTGAAGCCAATCCAAGTCTGAACAGGCAGCACCTGAGACAGCAGAGACATTGCTGGCTGCTGAATCTTAAGGGTCAACAGCATTTACACTACACTGAAAGCATGTCTGTTACCATTCAGCCAAGTTAAATACTGACCACAAAGTAGCTGTTAATGTCACAAGCACCGTGACTCCATGTCTTGGTTTAAACCCTGTCGGCAAGTCAGCCACACAGTCCACTCCCTCACTCTCCCCCGCCTTTCTCCAGCAACAGCCCCCAGCTCCTGAAGGGACAGGGAGGAGAATCAAAAGAATGTAACTCCCATGGGCTGAGAGAAGAACAATCCTGTAACTAAGGTATAACACAAACCACTGCTGCTGCCACCAATAATGATGATCGTAAGGGAAATAACAAGGAAAGAGAATACAATACCACCTGTCGATACAAAGCCTGACCGAGCAGTGAGCCAGCCCTTCTGGGTAACTCTCAGTTACATGCTGGGCATGACGTGCTGTGGTATGGAATACCTCTTTGGTCAGTTTGGGTCAGGTGTCCTGTCTCTGCTTCCTCCCGGTTCCCCCTCCTCCCTGGCAGAGCATGAGACTCACAAAGTCCTTGGTCAGAGTAAACATTACTGAGCAGCAACTAAAAACATCGGTGTTATCAGCGCTGTTCCCAGGCTGAAAGTCAAAAACACAGCGCTGCACCAGCTACTAAGAAGGATAAAAAATGACTGCTACTGCTGAACCCAGGACAGTATCCACCCCTCATACCATACCATTCATGTCATGCCCAGATCCCACATTTTCAGTATATCATCGCTCTTACATCCACACACACACAGACAGAGAGAGATCATTCCTTAGTGCATGGACCAATCCCTAAAAAGCTGCTGAGTCCATTTGGCCCATGATGCCGGGTTCCATCCCTTGTAACAATTTTTCAGGGCGGGAAAGGCTGTGTGCAGTGTTGGATCGTTGCCTGCTGATGCTGGTTGTTCCTTTACCACAGAACTCATCTGGTTCTATCAAAGTTCATTCTCTGTTGGGATGGTGGTTGGGGGGAAGTCAGGGCCAGTTGCTGGTGACTTGAATCCATCTAGTTGATGGGCTATAAAAGTATTACATAGCAGGCAACAGCATACAATTGAGTTCATTGGCTGTTTTCCCCTAAAATCAAATCCCCTTGAGGCATACATCAGACTTCCCCATCTTCCCGCATTACCCACCAAGTATATCCCAGTCCCTGAGCAAAAGCAATCCCACAAGTGGGTTTGCCTTTACCTGAAGCAGGAATAACCCAGACTGTCTTCTTAACAAACCAACAAACAACAGAACCATGTCTCGTGCTCTTTAAAGAAATTATATTTTGTGCTAATTATAAAACTGAATATATTAGAAGCCAACTCCAAAGACAGCAGTACCGTAAGGTAACACACAGCCACCATGAGGGCTGAACACGTCATTACTGATGCGTTATATACAAGAACTGATTCATCATTTGTTATTCTTACCTGCTTCATACAATCACACCAAGAAATAATTTTATTCATCTAAATGAGTAAACAGTTACTGGCCTCTTGTTACAGTACAAGACAATTGGACTACCTTTCACAGGACTGTCTAGCTGGTTAAGATAACTGACACTGATATCAATTTTCACAGCATGTTTTGATACCCGCCGTAGTTCCACTGACTGACCATTTCAAAACGAAGTCACTGACATATTTCAAACCTAGGCTTGTGTCAGATGCATTTCTGTAAGGTGTATCTCAAAGTAAGTAATTGCACCATTAACACACTGGACCAAACACTGCTTTGAGTAGCTTACGTCCATAACGGTGGCTACCCAAAGCTGCAGGTGACCTGGGAAACAACGTGACATTTAAGTTTCAAAGAAAAAACTGATTGCACACTTGCTTCTGTGCGAGTACTTCTGATGAGAACCACAGCTGGGCAGCCTTCAATAGGGGTGGCTTCAGGAATATTTGAGACCCAAAAGTGTCATGGTGTGTTTGAGTGCTGTTTCCTCCACAAATCTTACATTGACGTGGTCTTGTTTCTCATGTGGCTGCACACCTAGAGAAGAATCATGAGAGAGTGTTTACACCATTATAAGTGCTGTCATACACTCAGCCCTGCAGTCGGCTATAAACATCATCTACAACAGATGAGGTAATAGGTGTAACTGTGCTTTCACTTACACAGAATACCTTCAGCTTTCAGTGAGCTGTTTGGATGCTCACCACGGCAAAAAAAACCAACCTGTCAGTGTGGTTAAGTAAATGATAATCCATAGAGAGCCAAGCTAGAGCCCCTCTGGGGCTGCCAGGGATTTCCACATGAATTCTACACAGGAGATCCAAAAGAAGATTTAAGCACAGTGGCCATGTTAGTGCTAGTACATAACAAGGACCAGAGCACATTCCCATATACTTGTAACTCTTTTTCCTTCCCAAAGAGGAATATGAATATATCCATACATGGACAATCTTGTTTTACCCTCTAGGTCCTTATCCTGACCTTATTTTGCTTATTAGTACAGGCACAGCCAGTAACGTCAAACAGCACAGTGCTTCCCTTAGCACACCTTGCTTTTTCAGTAGAATTCAAAGTCTTCAGATGCTGATGTTCACTGTCTGAAGCAAACGCCCAAACCAACTGTATTTCACAAACACGAACAGCTTCGAGATGAAAATACTACGTCAGAGCACCTCCTATTTTAGTGGTGTGGATGCTCTTTTCTGAGGTGGCAGATCTGATCTGGGCTGCCTCTTAACCACCAGACTGTATAAACAAGGAACAAGCCCTTCTCCCCGTCTGAACACAGAATAACAGCTACCACCATGCTGTACACAAACCACGATTCACTACACGTGTTCTCAAAAACGCAAGTTTGCCAACTGGATCCAACACACAGAGGATGTGCAGTGAAGAAGCCTCCTGACAATTCCCATCAGCAGAAAGACAACCAAACCTACATGTCCGGGCATCACTGCAGTTGTAGAGCTCGGTTATGTCAGTACAGTCAGGGTACTGCCAAGTGTAATCATCAAAAGTAACAATTACTGGTCTTCCAAAGTACAGAATTAACGTTACCTTGATTCTCTATCTCTGCCAACATGCTGGTCAGGTAGTTAAGTGGCAAAAACTCTACAGGGACCGAGAGTCTCTCGGGGACAAACCTGATACACTGTAAGGGAGAATATGTCAGGTTAATTCAGAGTTGCACAGTACCAAGTTTCAGTGTTACCTCGAGTGTGCTGTAATTTACAGAAAGGTCAGGAACCTCAACACTGTCAAAGCAAAGGATTAAAGAATGTGCTCTCACCTGCCTGTTCTCCAGCTTCTCGAGCAAGAGCTTCACATACTTCCGTGCCATTAAGTTAGCATTGATCGGATGATTCCAAACCTGTCGGACTTTCTGACCAAGAGCCTAGTAAGCAAAAACAAACCCCCAAACCTGAGAACATAAACATGGGACAGGGGAAACTTGGGAGGGGAAAAGGGAGGGAAAACCCCACAACAAATCCAAGCTATAACACAGATGCTTTGCTTTCAGACAGCGATGACAGAAGCTGAGACATCACTTTCACCCATGGGGCCTTTTTTTATAGGCAGTAACTGAGAGGTTACAACATGCTCTCAAAATGTGGGAAAGAACCCAAACCTTGCTACTCGGTACCCATGGAGCTACACAGTAAGTTTCTATGAATTGGTGTGTCTCATTACCTCTCTCTCACTTTGCATGTATACTTAAACATTAATAGGTGCATAAATGACTGTTTATCCTTTACTGTGACTCTGGCTTAGATCCAGTCTTCTCCCAAAGAACACCACTGATGCCCCATTCCTCGGTGCTCCTTCAGAATGGGGCTTCTTGGGCTCAGCCTAAGGAATGCTACAAAAGCAGAACGCCAACAAGGATAGATACTAGGAACATATTTTGAATCCTGTTATTTAGGACCTGATTCTGGGAATGGATAACACTGATTCCCATTCCCAAAGGCAAAACAGATTCAAACCCAGATGTCCCAAAGCTTCTAACCCTAACCAATGAGCAAACAAATATGAACACACTGTGAAATGAGCTCCACCTTCTGCGAGTTTCCCTATCTAAATCTTTTTTTCCCATATTACTTTCAGCTGTATCACAATACAGACTACTGAAAGAGTTCATGTACAGTTTCAATGGTGCTTAAATACTTGCTTCTGATGGCACTGAAGTCATCTACTGAATGCTGCCAGCTCAAAATAGCCCAAGTCACCCCAAAGTGTCCTTTCAGGCAAACAAACTATCCTCTGCATTTTTTCCCAAAGCTGCAAATAGATACAATGGGGCACTGAGTGCAGTGTGCACATGTAACAAGCAGTACATGTCCCCTACAGCACTCACAGCTCAGCCCTTGGCAGCAAAGCACGGTTGGAACAGTGCTCTCAGCCCACCAGGCCTGGGGCTGGCAGCTCAGAGAAGCCCCACACTGACCCCAGCTCACCCACCCCTGCCCAAAACAAGACACAGAGGACAAGGAACCTCCTGTGGAGCTCTCCTTCCCTACCCCTTCTCAAAACTGCTGCCAAATAAAGAAGCCCTTGTTTGAGGAAAACCAAAGCAGCACTTCTGGGCATGTGAACTATATGGACAGCCCATAATAAGCAAACAATAAGTAACTTGAGAAAAGCCTGTTCTACAGCAAGGCCCTCCCCAAGGGAGAATCCCTGATGTTCCTCTGCAGCACTGTGATGTGCACTGGGAGCAAAAGACGAAAAGGAAGAAGTCAGTTTCCCATTCTGTCAGAACTTTTAATGGAGCACTAGGAATTAGTTCTGAGTCACCTCAGCAGCAGGTGAGGTGGGAGATTTCACAGAGCAGGAGGTGCTGTAATTGAAACCCACCACAGTGCTGTGCTACAATCAGATTTTACAGCTTTTACTGAACCAGCTTTTGAACACATTTGATTCAATGTATAAAACCAAATGCTGAGGTCACGAGTGAGAAAGGCATTTGCAGATGCTAAAAACCACAAACCCCCTCATAAATCCTCTTTAAATCCCATTAACCCCCTATTGCTTTATGCAGATGAGTAATCTGCAGAACAGTGTCAGTCTTGTCTGACTCCTGCACAGTACTGGAGACACTGTAAAACACTATGGACAAATGTGCAGTTTAAGTTACCACGGTACCCTGCAGGTCACAAGCAGCAGACAGAGGTTCCATTAGCTTGATCCTATGCACAGGGAGGAGCTGCCTATGAGCTCCAAAATCCAAGAAACAACATCCAAAGTCATTAGTTACCTCAGGAAGCCTCATGACAATACTGAACTTCAGCTTTTCGTTCTTCTCAGTGTCATCCAGATCTGCAAGACAAACACAAATAAACCAAAACCCCACATGACTAAATCTTTCCACTTTCACAGAAGGCATTCTGAAAACACCTCTGTAATGAAATGAAAATGTTAATTTTAAATAAAGGCTATCAGGAGTGTCAGTCACGTTTATACCATTTACATAAACATTTTTCTGTGTATTTGTATGTAACTTCACCCTTTTATGTAACAATTTATACAGTAATTCCAATGTGTTTTGACTATGTACAACTCCCCGTATTTATATTTATTTTATCAAGACCAGGCACAGATTCAGACAGCATATTGTGTGCACATATTTTCTTGAACACTGGAGAAATAGCCCATTACAAGGGAACATGGCTGCAGCTATGATGAAAGGCATTACTGCTGGAGTATCTGTTCCTGTATGTGCTGCTTCCTGGGAGACAGGCTACAGTTTCCTCTTCCTCCCTTCTGACCTAGAAAAGGCAATTGGATCATAGACTCACAGAATAGCTTGGGTTGGAAGGTCATCTAGTCCAACCCCCCTGCAGTGAGCAAGGACATCTTCAACTGCTCCATAACCTTCAGTGGCACTGAGGTCAGACTGACAGGCCTGCTCCTCTTGTTCCAAACACAATTAAAGCAAAAACTGAGGACTGGATAGCACACTAACCTCCTTAAACATAGGTGTGCACTTCCACAGAGTCACAGAAATCCCCAAACAAATTATACGGTGAACTTCAGTATTTGCTTTCATAGAAGTCCCAAGTGGAAAAACTATAAACTGACATTCTCTCCAATCAGCTATTTCTTTGTCTGCTATGGAAAAGCTCAATCATAGTGTCCGAGCTCCAATTTTCTCCTTTCAGCTGGGCAACACTATCAGCTACAGTGCTCACTAAAACAACACTGAGAACAGAAGAGTCTCCTGGGTGGTAAACACTGTGTCTGTGTTTGAATGGCTGAAGGGACATCACTCCAGTTAGCTGGCTGGGAACAAATAAACACATGAAACTCACTGTACCTTTCAGCAATTTCCTGACACAGGTTTCTGTCAAATGCAACACTCCATTATCAATGTAGTGCAGGAGGGTGTGCAGAGGAAGACATCGAACACCAAGCCCCAAGTGCAGCGTGTGAAAACCTGTGAAAGAGAAACCAACTTGTTTGGTACACCACCAACTATTGTTTTCCTAAGTCTGTATCAGAGACTGGAATTACTGTAGGTAAAACCACCACTCTCTCCTTAACTTCTGACTGCTGCTAGTTGGTGAGGAATCAGTTTATCAAAGTCTTATGTAGTCTTATTTAGGCATCCTTTAAGTCCTCTCAAGTACAGTCCTGTCAGAAAGAGGAAAGCCAAGAGGACTGAAAACAGTCATTACAGTCGTGCACAGTCATTAAACATTTCCAGGCTGTTGCTTTATATCTGAATTGTTCTATTATTTTGACTTTTATCTCCCTCTTTCCTCCTAATTACAGAATCACAGAATCCCAAGGGTTGGAAGGGACCTCGAGAGATCATCTGGTCCAAACCCCCTGCAAGAGCAGGGTAACCTAGAGTACATCACACAGGAACTTGTCCAGGCGGGCCTTGAATATCTCCAATGTGGGAGACTAATCAAAACCTGAATTAAAAAAATTAATCAAAACCTGAGGCCTCACCACCCTCAGTATGTGGCTGCCCCTCACACATTCCCACACACAATGTTAAGTTTCTTATTTAACATCAGGCAGATGATGGTCTTGTCATCAGGTGACACCATTACATGGCAGTATTCGTGCCCCCACAGTGCAAGTCTGGAGGACAACCTCAAACCACAAGCAGCTTCAAAGACTGAAGACAGATCAGGAAATCCAAATTTGAAAGATTCAAACTGAATAAGAAAGCATTAAGAAGCCTTTCCCTAACAGAAATAAGCTCATGCTTTGGAAAGACTCTAAGGGATTATGAGGAGCTCTAGGAAATGAGAGTGCTATCAAGAACAGCACTTCCATCAAGGCTGGAGATAATCCTTTCACAGCATAGAACTGAAAAACACTATCAGGGCAACAGCATGAGAGAAACCATTCTCTTTTTGCCACAGGACAGGGACCCTTGCAGCCCTTGATACTGAAGTCTAGTTTGTCTAAGAAAAGTATATTCTTTTATTTTAAGAGGAAAGTCTAAATCTTCATTCTAAGCTGAGACTATGCCCAAGCGTTCCAGTGGAAGCTGAAAACAGAACTAAACCTTTATTTAGAGAGAACCTTTGTTGTTTCTATTTATAGTAACTATTCAGTTTTCCTTCATTACACTTGCATGTGTTTATGGACGGTCTTCCCCTTTGTAACTGTTTTGAACAGATTTCAATACTGCCAAAGCTAATTTGACACGTGCTGCAACTTGTGCTCTTCTGGAAGGAATTCCTAGCACTGCTCTCCTCACTTACCATTAAAAGGCAAAACGCAAGACTTACCAGGAGGTAAAGGCAGGCACATGCCATTTGCAGCTTCCAGAATACGACTCATGATGTGGAACACCGCAAACTCTCCCGCACTTCCTCTCTCATTGCTGTATTTAACAAAGCAGCAACACATTAGGAACCTGAAAAGCCCACACTCTGGTGGAGATACGGTTATGTTGTGGTTTTACATGTACACTTTGGTTGAGCTTCCATGAGATACTACCTTGCCTACTCAGGTGTCTGTCACCTAGCAGCACTAGCTGTTCAGTGTTGACACACAGTCTCTGTGGCGTCCCCTTCCTCCTTCGCTCATTCCTACGTATCTGCAAGTCTCAGCAGTAGCTGGCATCAACAGCAACAAGTGAAATATTTTGAGTGCTGGTGTAAGTGATCTGGCTTTTATAGGCATTTAACACCCACTTCCCCTCTTCAGACCACTGAGAACTCAGCAACTTTGCACTCCAGCTGCAGAACAGCCTATACGATTAACACTACTGTTGGCTCAGAGAGGGCTAGCAGGCTCATTAAGAAGAGTACATGACAGTCATACTGACATTCACAGTAGAGTAAGCACCGACTGTTCAAGCAAGTGGTGTTGTTGAAGACCAAAACTAAGATGCCCATATTTTAAAAGGCAGGCTGAAAACATTAACAAATTACTTGCTCACAAGCAGAAGATGCAGGAATGAAGATGGTGTCTTCTCCAAACTTCTTTCATTATTTGATGCACCAGATTCAGCTGCAATGAAAAAGAGAAGACAGAATGTTTCTAGGAGCCTGTGTACAGCACGTACCTGGCCTTCACTCACTTCACACACCAGTTTACATTCAAAACTCCTCATGAGACTGAGACTCCAGTATTTATCTTTGGTTTGTTTTGGTTTTTTTCCCTAGGGACACAAAATATAAAATTGATAAAAATTTGAATTGTAACTGAACTGCCTTTTTTTAAAGTTTAAATTAAGTCCTTCCAGTTCATTAAAGCATTGTGCAAGACATACAGGATCTTAACACATTGTGCTTCTTGCGGATCAACTAATCTCACGCACTTGCATCAACTTCTCAAAGATCTGTTTGCCATGAAAGCAAAAACTGCATGTCCCATGTGGCAAGGAAAGGTCCCAAGGGCCCAGACAAAACTGGATGATGCTGAAGACAGCAAAATACTCAAGTTTGCTGAGAAAAGTCTGCTGGAGAAATCACCAATCTAGTCCTGGCAAGGAAGAAAGGTGAGACAAGCAAATGCCTTTCCTCTACCAAGTCCTTTTTTGTCCTTAGCGAAGTAAAATAATCCCTCAGCCCATATTGTTGCTTCTTTGTGCTCCCAGTACAGACTGTCAGCATACAAAAGCCATAAGCCCTGCTCTCACTTGGGCCTTCTAAGCTTCTGCAGCTGACAGAGAGAAACCACACGAGAGAGTTGAACTAGCTTCCTCAAGCCAGCCCCTCATGGCTGTCATGTGTAACCACTTCTGTATCTCAGTAACAGAACTGAGACGCTTCCTCTACCCTTTTTATCTCTGGACCTCAAAGTGCGGTTAATCAATCTGTCCTAGGAACTCTCAGTAAGCAAGTCTGACCCCTCTTTAGCAGAGAGGTGTCATGAGAAGTTACAAACCCCTTTTCTCCCACCAAGATGTCCAGAATCCAGGAATCCTTTTTCCCCCACTTTCTTTTCTCCTCTTAGACCCTGCCCCCTCCAACCTCTAACTTGTCCAGGCTCTAAGCAAGAGACAAACAGGACAGACAGGAGAGGTTCCTATGCAAAGGCAAGGACGGAAATACTGATCTTCAGTTGCTCCTGAGTGCTCTTCACTATACTTTGGTCGGAAAGCTCTACAAGGTAGCACCTTCTCCCTCCACCACTTCACCCAGCCTTGTGCGGCTATCTCATGCAGAATAACCACTTAATACTTTCCATCTTCATACCTCCTGGATGCAGTGGAAAGCTCCAGTTTAATCTCTCTGGAGGACGGCAAGTTTTCCCCACTCATTTTCCAAGAAATGAGTGATTTCCAGTTTTCAGAGAAGGGTCACAACAACTGCACATGCTGCCGGAATGACTTTCATCTCCGGCCAGCACACAGGGTGCAGCTAAGACCTCTGCGTCAGGAGCTACAGCTGAGTTAGAAGATCAGTGTTGAGGTGAAGGGAAGGTTCTTACAGGCTCTGAAGTCACCCTTATTATTTGTGCTACATTGTTTTCATGGGTGTGATACTCCAGAATCAGTATTCTGTGCTTAACAATACAGCAAATCAATACAGCTTTCAGAGGGTATAGAAAGATGGCAACTTCCTAAAGCACAGTCAACACACTTAAACCTTAAATATAGACATGCTTGTGACCAGACACCCTCATCAACCCACTTTGGACATCAGCATCTACAAAGGACATCAAACAAAATACATATAGAAAGAGAAGCCATGACTCAAAACTTTTTCCAGTACATAACATACAGCTTAATGTGCATGAGAGAAAGGAAACATCATCTGGTTTACAGAGGCAGCACACGCAGCTTCCTCACCAAGGCCAGCAGCGGGTCTCTTGGGAACTAAGAGCCTGACCTACAGCTTCACGGCCAAGCCATTTTTCACTCAGTAACAAAGACATACAAAACGAGTGTTTTCTGTGCAAGTATCAGAAACCATTTCCCTTGGAGTGCTCTAAATTAGGAGAGAATACCTGGCCAGCAGCAAGACACTGCATGCAGTAGGGCCTAGGCTGACATTTGCAAAGAACCTGCCACCCTGAAACCTCTACATTTTCAGGCATTGATGCTGAGTAGCCTGAAGTTCCACTACAATCATTTGGAACCACAAATGCTCAGCTCCTGTGGATGCTTCTACAGTAAAGATATGGAAGTAGCCAAAGAAAAGAATCAGCAGCAAAAGAGAAAAGGGAGACAGAGTCTTGCTTTCTTCCAGATCCTCTCCTGGGCAGGGCATACAAAGCAGTCCTGAGGAAATTCAAATCCAAATGGTGTCTGTCTTCTATACCTCCGCAGTTGAGACTACATCAGATGACAGCCAGCCACAGACATCAGCGAAAAAGGTGCAGCCACTGCAACAGCTTTCAGAGCAATTTCAACAGTTTCTGCTGAGGCTGCCTGTTCACTCTGCCTCCCCTTCCACTTGCTGTCAGGGCAGCAAATGTCATGCTGCTCTGTAAGTTATTTCCCCCCTTTCCTGCCCCACTGAAATGAACAGAGAGAAACACACATGGAGTAAAGTTAAGGTTAAGTGACTGCAGAAGAAAGAGAGAATATGGCCATACAAACAACCACTGGAGGCAAGGGGCATGGGGACTGGTACCCAGGCATGCTCAGGCCCTTCAGACCACTGTGCACACAAGGGAAATCCCACTGAGAAATTTCATTCACACTTCCCCATGTTACTTCTCTGTATACAAACACACACAGCTCTCTGACACCAACCAGCCACTCTGTTGTTTTACAAGGAGCTATCAATGCTCCCAATGTGTCGGCTGCTTTTGACTTCAGCTGCAATTGAATTACACAGTGGCTACACACCATGGAGCCCTATTCTTAGCCACTCCTTTGCTCCTGAATGTAATAAAATATTTTATGACTGCAAACAAGCAAGTAATTTCAAGTCTCTGCATGTTTCACTACATGCAGTACTGACTGCATGTCAGTAGCTCAGCTACATGTTGATGATGCTACAGAAAACTGTCAGAAGACCCAAAACAATTCTTTCCCCTGAAGATCTTCCAAACATCCAGGCTATAGGAAAGTTTAAGATGCAAGAGTTTCTGATTAGGATGAGGAGAAACATAACTCTAACAACGAAATCACTTCTGAAGATTCCCAAACTGCACCTGAGATGCACCAGCCAGAGGGCAGGAGCAGTTTTGAAAGACACATTATCTTTTGCCTATAGCAGCTTTTCTAAGAATGAGAAGACTCTAAATTGAGTTTAAAGAATTCCCAATTTAGGGATGCTAAAAAAATTAACTAATCCTGAGAGTTTGCTGCTGGGGAGCGCTGAGACTTGCTTTCATTGTAAGATTTAGTCTGCAATAATTTAGTCTTGCAGATCAAGGCCACACAGGCATTTTTGTGTGTTTTATCTCAGTTTGTATTAAGAATGAACAAATGGTAACTGAAAAGTGAACAGAAAGAGAACAAACATTCCATTTGTATTTTTTTTCAGCACTGTTTGCAGGTACAGAGCTTTGGTCCATGCTGTGCTGTTCCTACTTTAATCATCCCGTGATGGCACTTTCAGTATTCAAGATATGCAGCAATGTATTCTACACCAAACAGAATGATCTAAAGACCATTCTTTCAACTTTCAAGAGGAGTTCACATTTTCACTTCTGGGAGCAGACCATATTTGTACAAGCTGTAAAGGGAACTGTTTCTTCTGTATTCTGAGTGACCAATTGTCCTGGGTTTAGCAGTAGCAGTCAGTTTTTTCTCCTTCTTCGTAGCTGGTGCAGCGTTGTGTTTTGACTTTCAGCCTGGGAATAGAGCTGATATGGAATCAACCATCCTCTGCTACCACCAATGATAATAATGATAGGAGAAAATAACAAGGGAAGAGGATACAATTCCACCCACCGAAACGAGCCCAACCCCCAAAGAGAGCCCGTGCCCTTTCGGGTAACTGCCAGTTACCTCCCCAGGCATGACGTGCTGTGGTACGGAATACCTCTTTGGCTAGTTTGGGTCAGGTGTCCTGTCTCTGCTTCTTCCCAGCCTCCCCTCCTCCCTGGCAGAGCATGAGACTCGGAAAGTCCTTGGTCAGACTAAACATTACTGAGCAGCAACTAAAACCATCGGTGTTATCAGCTCTATTCCCAGGCTGAAAGTCAAAACACAACACTGCACCAGCTACCAAGAAGAATTAAAAATTGACTGCTGCTGCTAAACCCAGGACCCCAATACAAGTCTTTTTAAGTATTATTTCCTTTATCAATATATATACTATTAAGCAGCAGAGTTGACCATCTTAAAAGCAATCTCCTCCCATGAAATACATGCTACATACACACAGCACACAAGACCTTACCCTCCAACAAATACACACTTGCTCACAATAGTGACTATGAAATCAAACTAACCAGGTTTGCGACGTAATCCAAAACTATTTGGTCAATCTTCTTTTTTCCTACATACTGCAGATGTCTCATAAGGTGATCCTTTAGCTGCGCAACCATCTAGGAAGAAAAAGGCAACAGTTCAGTGTCCTTGGGCATCTTCAGAAAGATGGGAAAGGTTCAGCACGTGCAAGCCCTGATCAAGCGACATTAGCACAACAAAACGTTTCCCTGTTACAAAACCCCAGTTCAGAGCAAGATCCCAAGCTCAATACAACCTTGCCAGATTCAACAGCAGATATGAATATTCAGAATGGTTACTGGTGCAAATTCAGCAAAATGAGTGCTAAGTTGAACTTTCAATGACACTGAAGAGAAAAAAGTTATAGTTCTTGCGTCTCTCTCGGCCAAGCCAAGGAAACAGGGTATCATAGTTTAAACCCAGCAGGTAACCCTGTTGTTATTTAGAAATTGCTTTTACAGGGTCAAAGAAGGATTTTAACATGAACACAGATCCCTAAGCGTGCAAGTATTCGTTACATACAAATAAACCTGAGGGATTTTACGACAGAGAAAACTCGCACAACTAGTGGTAATAGCCAAGAACCCAAGAACCTGAGTGATTAATGGCAACTGCAGGTTAAACATTAATTGTAAAGTCTTTAAAATAAGGTGTTTGTTATCATACAGCCTGTGCTACTCCCTACACGCTTCTTTCTGAAACATTCTCTGGCCTCACGTAACTGGACTGCAACTCAAGTCTGTGCTGGTTCTTTGCTGAGAATTACTACGAAGTATTATTTGTTTCATAGCTCAGAGTAAAACTGAGGCAAGCAAAAACTTCTGACTCAAGGAGTTACCAAGTAAATTGATCTCAGTGTGCCAGGGCAGCAATATAGGTATTAGGAAAGCACAGATAAAGAACGGCGGTGGGCTGCTGTTCAGATCTGTGTGAATCAGATGCAGGGAATGAATGTAGAGACGCTTCAGAGACTGAGGCAGAACTTGAAAACAAGGGGACAAGAATGCAAAGAATGAAAATTCGCCTTAAGATCTGAGCAGACAGAACAGTGTTGACATGCTCTTCATAGATGCAGTGCTGAGACTCCCTGTGCATGCTGAAGAGTTTTATTTGGGTTTAGTATGAAGAGAACAAAAGATAGCAAAGATGTGTATTTAGACAGAGGGAGGACAGGTAGGGATTTGAGATTGGATTTATTACCCAGAAGCATAAGGATGGTAGATCCTTTAGAGAGAAATCATCAGTGAAAACAGTGCAAAAGAGGAAGGGACCTCAGAACAGCCATAGAAGGCAAAGGAGACAGTAAGAAGGGTGTTATATTGAAGTAAAAGATCTGTGATCTTCTCTTTGAGGAAAGTAGTAGGTGGGAAATTCACTTATACATGTTTCAAGGATGTAAAGTAGTTGAAAAATAACAGAGGGATGAACTCCAGGAGGATGGAATAACACTTTCTAGCCAAAGACAAGTTATACTGGGAAAATTCATTCTGAAAAATCAATTTTCCATTGCTGGTTTTCCCCTATGACCTGTTAAGATGATATTATGACATCATGACAATGAACTCTGAAACTTAAGAAATACCGTGTTTGTCCCATAGCTACTCTGAGTGAGCTTCCACATAGCACTGCCACTCATAAGCTTAGTCTTTACATTTGTTGAGGCTGTGCCTCCTCTAGTGCACACTGTGACAAAAGCACATACCAGTCCCATTAGTAATTGCTGCTGATAATCTTCCTCTTGAAAGAGAGGTACTAGCCTTTCCTCTGAAATAAACAGAGCAAGAATCATTCAAGGATATGATGCTACAGAAATCCCATGAGACTTCAACCAGCTTCAAAAGTACTCAGAAACATACACAAACAAACAGAAGTTATGGTTTGATCTACTCACAAAATCAAGACAGTGAAGAATCAAGGACTGGAGAAGAGAACTGAGGAACGGAAATTAACCCTGTATTTGAAATCTTCTCACTCAAGTGCTTAACACAGGGGAACACACACCTGTCACACCACTTTACACTTCATTTGCATTAATTGTTCTTTGATATTTAAGTAAGAGTCTCACAGTGTGATGATACAGTAGAGCAAAGAGGCACCAAGGACCTTCTGGTAACACCACTGCAAATGCATAGACTATTTAGATCTTGTCATTTACAAACAAACATGCTAAAACAGCTGTTTTTTTCCAAGGAAATGGCTAGACAGAAAGTAAATAACCCACAGAATCACCTCCCACTTTCCTGGTTCTCTCCCATGGTCTGCCTGCTTCTGTTATTCAGGCTTGCAGACCACTATGTAAAAGAACACAACTTTTCTAACTAAATGGAAGGTGGTTATAGTATCTACTGAAGTTTAATACTCTGTATTTCCTAGTCAGTACTCCCTGTCTACTAAAAAAGGAAGAAAAACAATTTCCTATTTCATCATCCAGCATAAGCCAACATTTTACAGACCCCAGTTCTGGATTTTTACAAAGGTCTTCCCAGCCATCTTTGCTCACATGGAAATATATTTACTCTGCCACTTAGCAGCACAAGGACCTGGGTTGTTTGATTTTAAAAGACTTGGAGACAAATCTACAGGGAAGATACACTGTCTAGTAATAGTTAAACATATGACTTCTTCATCAATGGAAAACATGAACCTGAGGCTCACAAAGTTCATACAAGGCTCACAAAGTTCATACACGGCAACAACCAGCAGCGGTGCAGGTGACTGGTGTCAGGGGCTGGAAATGAATGCACTGAAAATTCTTTGCAATGAAAGGAGTGAGCAGCACTTCAGATCAGCATAATTCTGTGGCATACAGTAGCAGGGCACATAGAGGCCACTGATGTGTGAACAGCAGGAACATAATTTACTACTAAATTCAGTTTTACTTATTTGTGACAGAGGAACTGAGCATTGCAAATCCTCCTGCTCCTAGGGAAATTCATTATGCCTCCTTCCTCTACACCATCATTTTTCACCAGCCATAATCTCTTACTGTATGTAAGCTCTGGAGTTGCAAAGGATTCTAAAAGGACAAGACTCAGCAGTAACATGGCATCATTGATACCCTTCTCCAGGAGAAAAAAAGCCTGAAGAAGAAATCCTTTGGCAGAGAAAGTTTTGATCCAATATGAAATAGAAACTTTTTTCGAAGGGCTTCCTAGTCAGTGTATGATCCTATCGCAACTCTCAGAGAGAAAGTGTTCCTCTAATTTAGTAACTCAGATTCTTCAGTACTGAAAACATACACTGCCATTTACTTTTAGACAACAACAGCTAGATGGAAATATTCTAGCAAACCTTACAGCTAAGGCCTATATCAAGGCAAGTTTTACTTACCAGAATCCCAAGTGTTCAGATGAGAAAGCACCCTAGGGTTTGAAACAAAGGTCAGCATGTTTCATATGCATTACTCTGAAGGATTGCATAAGGCTGTTAAAACACTCAAATGATACTTTGATCTTTCAAAGACAGCTAAAGAAATCCAAGAACTGTACATGTGAATGCACTTGGTAAAGACATTACATAGCATTAAAAAAATTCTATCTGCAGCAGAATCAACCTTCACATCTGCCATACATTTCCTAGTCTAGAGGCCTGGATAGTTAAGATCACACTGTAGTGATTACAAGGATTCCAACAATTGATTTTCAGCTGGATAATCTTATTTGAAGTACGATATCTAACCACCTACCTCCTCAAAGTAAATGGAATATTAAATCCTTCAACACATTTCAACAAAATAAGAAAAGGTGAATACAACAGAAAACAGAACCTACTTTCTGGCGTTTTCAAAAATGTTCCTCAAATAGGCCGTGGTGGGTCTCTCCTCTCCCTGATTGTAAACAAACAGAAATCCCAAAATGAACAGAGCAGAAGGCAAATTAAAATACTCCCCCATAAAATGAAGATGGGAAATTAAGCTGGTTTTCCTTTTGAATAGAAATAATGCAGCAGGGCTTCAACGCACCTTTCAAAAACCCATCCCCATAGGCGCTCACATTAACCTACATGACAATACAGGTATGTGCAAGCTCTGCTTTTGTTTAGTTTCTCATATTATTTTAACAGGCAATCACTTGACTGCAAGTCTCTTTACTTCCCATGATCAGATAGATTCCCATTTCATTATCCTCAATGTAAAAACAGACAACTCTTCCACATTCAGCTTTAAAATACCCACTTCAGAGGCAGCTCTGGAGACTGTTTCAGTGCATGCACATATCAGCAATGCGTATTTACCTCTTCTGAAAGGTTGCGCCATTCCCTCCTGAGCACATTGTTGTGGTAATGCAAGTGTGGTTCTGCATACTTCACACTCTCCAAGTTTGAGTTGAGTTTCTTCCAGAAGTCTTTGGAGTTTTGGAACTGCAAAGTATTTCAGGGAAAGCATGAACACAGGCTGCACCATCCCGTGATTGGAAAGATCTGTGATTAAGGTAGCTTTGTAACAATCTAAGTTAATAAAGTTAAAACAAAAGCAGTTATACTATTTTTTCCCAGTACTTTTATTTCCTTGATTTGATGGCAGGGGTAGCACTTACTCAAACCTGAGCTCAAAATTTGGTGAATGTAATACAGATAAAGGGATCCTAAGTTGGCAAAATTAGTCACCAGGAAGAAATTAGTACTTCTAGGTTATAATTCATCTGATCTATTTCACATGTTTGGGACAGGAAGAACTGTACCTCAGACTACACTGGCCATGTTGTTTATACTTCCACTGATGGCAGAAGGAGCCTTAGGCAAATGACTTAAATGTAAATGTTTCTATTTGGTCAAATAAATCCCATTATGGGTTTCTAGTAGTTCCAAATAGAAGAACAGTCATGATGCCAGCAACTACAGGCTGCTACTATTTCTAAGCTGCTTTAATACTTACATTGCAAACATCCATTTTCCAACCTCAAGTAAGAGTTCTCATCGCAGAAAAGAAACAAAATACAAACATTTCTATAGCTGTTCTAAAGCTTTTGATTCTAAGCTGAAATTTAAACTCAGCTGTGATCACACAGGAGGAAAAAAAAGAAAACAAATACACATTGGTTTCCTGGGCTAGTTCTTGGACTGGGTATAAAGATTCGAAGCTGCTGTGTATAAGGGGGGGTGATGTGATCATTGCTGAGGAACAGATGAGATTAAGGCAATTAATTTGGGCATTTTTAAGAAACAAGATAGTACTACCTGTTCTTGCCCCTCTTTATATATATTTGTTTCCCAACACAGATACTACAGTAGGGACACTTGAAACGAGAGGTCTGAGTTCACAGTATTCCTCCCTCTTGCATTAGCATGTTGGATTTTGCTCTCTCTCCCCTGCTTTTCTACGATGACAATAACTTTAGAAGCAAATTTCAGAAGCCTTTAAAACCACTTCCTACTATAAACTACAATTTGCCAAGGAAAATAAATTGCAGAGACTCAATCCTGCCACCCGCTTCCCTCTTGCTTCCAGTGCTGGTTGTTGCTTTATTATTGTAGCTGCAGCAGAGAAAAATAAACCTTGGTTTTGCTTCATGTTAGTTATATTTAGCAGCTGGGAACTAGGAGTGCATATGGCACCATATGTTCACCCTGCTGGAGCTAACAAGATCTACAACCTCCTACTGCAGTAAGTTGCCTAAATGTTACCAGTATCAAGCAGACAAATATAAAGAATAAAGCGTAAGGGTATCATCTAGTGACCAATCTAGGCAACTGCAACAGCATGACCCCTGCAAAAGTAAGTTCAGGACATACTGGATTTTGTTTGATTGTGGCAGAAGGGAAGCAAGACAGCAAGCTTGCTTCACATACTGAATCTGTGACAGGAAGTGGTGGACTTCAGAACTAAAAGCAGACACCACTGAAAACCCACAGGGTATTAGATCTCATTAAAAAGTTTAAAATAAAGTATTATTTTAATTAAATCTGTTATTTCTTGAGGATCATCAGGGCAAGGACAAGAAAGAGACGGCTTCTTCATCTTAGGGGGTGTTTCTTTTGCATACACTTCTACAGAGTCAGGAATCAACAGCTAAGCACAAATACCCAGAAGATGTTATATTACCCCAAGTCAAAACAAGGCCTTACCAGGCTGCAATCCATGAAAAGCTCCCACACAGCCTTTTATAAGCTATGTTTTTAAGACAAAGAAAGCTCTCTGCTATACCCCTCTGAAAGGATGCAGGGTGACAGTGACCTTTACAAGGCACTTGTCCTCTCTCGGGAATGGTAAAGCTCTATATCTCCAGCAGTGAAGGTATTTGGAAAGCTGTGTAACTAACTACATAGCTCCACAGGCAGCTTCTCCTTAAGAACACCATTTGTCTCCCCAGTGGCTCAGCACAGCATGCGGCAGAGGCTGCCTCTTCCTGTGCTGATCTCTCCGACAACTGCTCACATCACACATTTTCACTCTTCTCATGGACATCCGCCTATTTAGTTCCCTTCTTCCTCCTGCCCCTTCTTTCTCCCCTTCTGATCAAGCCTTTTTGCACCCTGAAGGGATTTGGTTTCTGTGTTTAAAAATGGAACTAAAAATAAAAATCAGACTCACTAAATCTGCAATCCTTATGTAAAGCTTTATGACCATTGGACAAGCTACTCCCCCTTTCCCACAGACTCTCTCAATATATTCTCTTATTGAACAGGATTAATCACATAATTTTGTGATTAAAATACACCTGTTACCCAAATAGCACAATTTTTCTGTGAATATGGACATAGCCTTCCCAAAGGCTCTCAACGATTCATGGACTTGAGAACTCCAAAAAAGCTTCTCAAAGCAACAATTCATCACTGTTTGTGTGAAATGCCATAAAATCTTTGCAAAGTCTGACCTGTGATACCAACAACATGCACACCCTGAAACACAAACAACTGAATCTAGCCGTGGTGGGTTTGTGTCACTGGAGTGGTACAAAGCAGGCAAAGCACTAAACCTTACCCTGCGTATTATCATCTCTGTCCTCACTCAAGAGTCAGAGCAACTTGCAGTCAAAAGTAGCAGGAAATATTTGCCTTTAGTTCAACTCTGACCTTTTCAATCTGTTTAGGTTTCAGACAGAAAATAGGAAATGAGTTCCACAATCAGGAAGTATAGCTGCTAAAGGCATGTGCCCCCAGGGGCTTGAGGTTCAATCTCAGACAAATTAAAGGGCTTCTAACTTTGACCTCAGTGAATTACAGCTATTATCTAGCAACAAATTTCTCAAGACCTGATTTTCCCAGGTGTCCCAGCTCTCAGGGCAGTCTTCCCAAGAAGAGCATGCAAAGCCCAATTCCCTCACAGCAGTCAAGTGTATGTGTAGCACAGCTGTGACGCAGAGCAAGGGAGTAGTTGGTAATTTCACTGATTTTAAATGATTTCATGAATGGTGAAGCTTTATGAGCTAATTACAAGCACTGGGGAGGAAACAGACTCTCACCTCTTTAAAGTGCTATATGAAACAATATTGTCACGTATCCAGAGTCTACTCCCATGTGGAGCTGGTACCGTTGCATTCAAGCTTTGACTCTTCCCATTAGTCCTTCCCAGCAAACTGTTTTATTAGAAGTCTCTTTGAGATTTTGTAGGGGAATACTTAGGCTAAGTTTCAAGTGTTTCTCTAAACTGGAGCTGAAGGTGTAGAATGGAAGATGCGAAGAATCACCCACGTTGTTTTCAACGGAAAGAACAATTTCCACCCAAACTGCATGTGCTCTCCCCATTCAGCGCACTGGCTTTTCCAAGCTGTGCAGGAATCTCTAGATTTAGCTTAGCTGGCCAAAGCCCTGACATCACTGTAATCACAGGATGCTCTGGACAAAACAAAGTGAGAGGGTCATGTACCTTGGGCAGCACAATGAAATGTTTCTCCAAGGAGGGATATGTAGAAATCCTACACATCCGTTGTGCCAAGTTTACCTCCAGCTACTGAGGTCACCAAATGAAGAACTATTTCTTAAGCAGAACTAATTCTTCAAGGATCTTCCCTGTTCAATTGGAGAAGTCTCCTCAAAAACGGGAGAAAAAAAACCAAACATCTTTGACCTAGCAAATATCAGCCTGAATAACTGATATGTTAGTAAATGCATAAGCCCTTTCAAACAAGGCAATTTCCTGTTCAGCCCTGTGTTTGGATAGGGCTGTGGGGACACTGCTTCAAAGTATTTAGCACACCCCCACCCCACAAAAAAAAAGCTCCTAATAGCAAATACAAATGTGGTTTTATACTGGAACTTACCTCTAACACAGGTAGAGGAATAATGTCTGTTGCACATTTTACTCCAGGGATAACCTATAAATACAGATAAATTATAAGAATATTAATAATTTAGCATAAAACATGGGCCTCTCTGGGTATCTAAGTGAATCTCCACTGTTTCCTTTGTGAAACTAGCTAGCCAGACAGAACTGTATGTTCAGTTTTGCTAAAAAGAAACACTGAAGATGTTTCATTCATCTCATTTAAAAAAAGGTAACGCATTAGAACAGTGTCAGAGAAATTAAAATGAGTTATTTGCTCTAACTGTAGCATCTTGCCTAAAGTTATTTTACTTCTACAAACTTACTGATTGATACTGTTTGTCTTGGAAATAACTGCACGATTTTCCTGGTTAAATATATTCTGTATTCATTATAAACCTCATATGACAAGCAGTAAATTAAACCTCATTGTGGAAACAGACAGATTTAATCATCCATTCCATTACAGTAGCTGATGTTCTTTTGTAAATGCTTTTATTTGTTGAAAAAAAACAGGAATTCAGGAAAACGCTGCTAAGGTTAAGACTTGACAAAATAAAATGTGCATAAAGCGCAGATACAGATTTAGGGATTGTCTATGAAAATATAAGGCATACAAGTTAAAGGCTGTATTAAGGGAGAAAAAAATATTCCCTCTAGCTATTAATTAAAGCACCAGCTGTTTTTCTTACCCCAATCCAGTCAAGCAGTGATGTGTAGGGCAAAAGTTTATCCAGGTTGTGAGTTTCTGGACACATTCTGCAGTACAGTGAGGCTGAATGCAACGTAAAAAGATTTGTGTGGGCAATATTGTATAAACTATCAGTCAACAACAGTAGGCTTCAGAGTCAGTTCCTTATCTAGCACTTTTTTAGGGACAAATCCTGCTGCTGTCTCTGCAACAGCTTCCTCCATCGTGGAACTGGTCCCATTCTGTGCACAAAAGGAGGAAGAGAAGTCCAGATGGCTGCAGGGCTGGGTCAGCTGCTTGGCTACAGCTCAGGGCTGCAGGGGTCCTTTGTACAAAAAGGCTCAAGGCACAGGACACTCACTGGCTAGGCTGAGGAATCAGATATTAGAAGGGAATATCATGGTAAGCCAAATCCTTACGAAAAAGTGGGCTGGGCTAAGCAAGAGGAGATTTGTTCCTCTGCTCCAATCTCAATTATTTACATCCCAGATACCCAAGATAGGAGCCAGATGGAGAACTTGCTCTCCAGTGACCTAAAATAACGGTGAATCTCTGTGCCCTACTAGACAGAAGAATGCATTTGAAAGGTTTTACTGTCAATCTGATTTTGAGAGATCTACGTATCTTCTAAACTACTGCTATTATCTCTTAACACCACAAAACGCCAGTTAACATAAATCATAACCAGAAAGTCTGGAAAGAGAGTCGGTTTATGAAATTGTGGCTTCTCCTTAAGTCAGAACTAGGGTATGGAGGGACATTCAGTATGCAGGAAAAGAAATACCTACCGATGATAAATTCTTGAATGGGGTCAAAAGAATGACATGTTGACAGGTTCTCAGAAATCCACCAAATAATCTGTCAGGGTGAGAACAGGGGAGTTAGTCACATCTCTCTGTTAAAGCATGTGTTGTAAACAACTATAGAATCTTTGGTTTTGGTAGCAACACTTTGCATGAAGTAATGATACAGAGATAATGTTTTCAGAACAACCTTGACCAATAAGGCAGTTTGGGCAGCCCAGCACTGCCAAAAGGTGTATGTGAATTGGGACTTTCCTGGCTTCATGGCCTGACCCTGCTTTGTATAAGACATCAGTCACTGAAAAAAATGTAGAGGAGGTTCTTTTCCCACCTGCATTTCCAAGTCTTCCGTGTGTTGGAAGTATAACAGGGCACAATGTAGAGCTGCCAATCTCTCGCTGTCTCGTTTGCTGTTCTGTAGGAGGTTTAGCAAGGCGCCCTCACTAATGCTCACAGCATACATACTTCCTATGTGGCAATCCAAGACTGTTGAAATGAGTGGGGATCGGATGGAGTAGTTCTGCAACATGTCAATTCTTGCATCCTCACCTGAACAACATTGGTTTAAGAATAAAAAAGGACTGAGAACATAAAATTTGGCTGCTGCAGTACTCTTAATACTCCCACATCCCCAGCAATGAGAAACAGTCTGGCTCTTGTACCAGTTGCCCTGGTATTATGCTGAAGAGGAGAAGGAATGGAGCTGGCTGGGTAAAGCAAGTAAATAAAGAGCACAGTCTATACCGAGTTCTTTCCTACTCTACTGCTGAAGAAGAAAAAGTGTGTATATTTGAGAGTCACAATGCCATCACAGGACCAATTAGAGTACATAGGATAAAAAGAGAAGGGCACAAGGCTAGCACTAGAGATTCAGCATTGGAACTAGTACAGATCAGAACTACTGATGTGCAGAATCATGATACAAACTGGTATTGGAGGATCTCTTACCATCAGTCCCAATGGCCAGGACAAGAAGGTTCTACTCTGTGATTACTGATTGAAGCATCAGAACAAAACCACTTTATTTATGCTAATGCTAAGGTTCAGCACCACAGTACTATACAGTAGGATTCCAGACCCTGCGCATCAGAGAATCAGGCCCACCACATAACAGCAATGCTTCCCACTCATTTCTAGCAGATTAGTATTTCATTATAGATATACAACAGGTATTAGTTCCTGTAATGTTGCCCCTGCACCAGTTCCCACTATTTACCTCTCCTTCACCCAATCAGAAGAACAGATTTCTGTTTTCAAACAAAGGCCCCCCACTTCCAAAAATATCCACTTCCCATAAAGACATATTTGTTGGAATTGTAATAACGTGCCTTTCAGATGAGACTCTAAATCGAATTGCATCAGCCTGATCAGGTGAAGGAAACACAGATTTCCTCTCCCCACACCCTCCAAACACACACATTTAGCCCAACTCAATTGGAGGAAGGAAATGTAAAATCAAATTTACATCTCCATGTGAAATTTGAGAACAGTGGAGGACAGAGAAGCATGTGCAAAGATGGGGGATGGGAAACTATGAAACCAAGGCAAAGGATTGCAAATTCAGTGAAAGGTCTTCTTCCATTTCATAACAAGCTAGAAGTGCATAATAGATGAAGTACGAAATGCCACTTCAGATTCTCTTTTTAAAACGGAAAGTGGCAAAAATGCTGTTCTTATTTTTTCAGTCTCTCTTGTTCTTCTTCAGAACACTGTGCAATAAAGCAAAACACAACTTTCATATGAAGAGATTTGAAAAAGTTTCCACTAGAACGATAAAATCACACAGCAGTCACACTATACCTGTCAGAAATAAACTATAGCACAGCAGGTCGGGATGCTGAATATTCAGGAGGTGCAGAAACTGGCCAGGCAAATAAGCAGCCACATAATAGTCTATTTAAAGAAATAACAGTGGTCAATTTAGCACTTGTTCACTTATTTTCTTTAAGAGGCTCTTTCTCATGATTCTCATCTTGGCCCACTTCTCTCTGATGGAATTGATTATATCTAGGAAATATAAAAGGAGTTAATGAAAAGCTGCTGCTGTATTAACACAGGAAACACTAGCAATACATTTGGATTTCCAGGGGAGGATTCAAGGTGCTTGAGACACTTAAGAACTCAGCAGCTGATCTCCAGAGCAGATTCTGAGGCAATTTTAGAGGAAGTTGCTTACTAATAGTGAGGTACTGCAGCATCAAATGCTAAATATAGAAGAAGGAAAAAAAAAAAAAAGCAGCAGAATAACACAACTACTTAAAGTTAAGGAAAAAAAATCCTTTCCTTCTAGAGCAGGGTTCGCCATTTGTCTCCCTACTGGGGACAGAGAATGGCAGTCACACAGGGAAGTAACACAAGTAACCTACCAAGATTTATAAAAGCCACTTCCTTCAATTGATGAGACTCTGTTCTTTCTAGAGAAACTGTAAAAGTTTTGTTGTAACCTGGGGAAAAATAATAATGCTTTTTAAAAACCCAAACAATAAACACCATCTGTTATAAGCTGTCGGTACAAGCCAAGTATGACTTTGTAGCTAGAAACTTCAGCAGTGCCAACACACACAAACAGGGATATTTTAGACTGTTTTACAGGCTTGTCTGCACAGACAGATTTACTTCATCCTGAAGAGTTGCTGCATACTTAGTAGACCTACACCCACATAATGCAGTTCCTTAGTATGCAGAAACTGGCTATGCACAGCACAGCCTATGTTCAAGTTTAAAGAAGCATTCCATCCCAGTGCAAGCTTGCGTAAGAACACGAACCCCCCTGAAAAGGCCAAACACAAATGCTCTACATAGCTGCGCTTCACATTTTGGTGATCTTTCAGCCACTTTAAAGAATTCCCACTTTGTTTATCTGCATGCCCTATTGCTGTAATCTAGTTCAGCTCTGTTTAGACATAGGCTAATTTAGGACCTGCTGTGTTTGCATGGGCTTTGCATCAGCACAGCTGCTATTTTATTCTAGACTTGCACCGTACTTTTTCTGGCATCCAGTAAGAATGACACAGAGCCCTCAAACTTCCCCAGTCTCTGAGAAAAGCTGAAGATTAAAATACAGAGTCAGTGACTGGCCTCCAAATCTCTGCTGTAATATGCTAAAAGCTAAATGGTGTCATGATCAGGATGCTGCTTAATACTGTGTGATAATTCAAGATAAGAGGGAACACCAAGGAAAAAAAGTAGAGCATGAGCCATGGATGAGCCACTCATCCGGGGCTTTGATTCCTGACCCTAGCAGAGAGATGCTTTAGCTATGCTACAGAAAAAGAAGTTAAAAAATGAGACCTCCAAGACCAACAGCAACACTACAGATTAAAGGGCATCTAAACCAAATAGGTTTTCATACAAAATAACGACTGAAGCTTGCTTGCAATGAGTCAGTATGCCCATGATCACCACCCTGTCCCTTGCCAATGCAAACACATGCAAGCTAACACCAGCACTGCAGATTACAACCACAGCATCATGACATTTGTGTCTGTGCTACATCAAGTAACTGCTGTAACAGGGGGCGGAAAGCTTCCTTCTGAGCTTACAGATCCTGCAGCACAGACTGAACTCTTTATATGTCTCCAAAATGTGGCTTATGGACCTCATATATCGCTGCTTCTGTGGGTCATCTCAGGACCAATCATAAAATTCTCTCATAGGACTGATGAATCTTATATGAATCCACAAACAGCTCTGTACCAAACAACACCATTCCATGAGGGTCATTTCAGATACAGCTGGTCAATGTCACCATATTTATCTTCAATTTCTTCCTGGTAAAGACAGGGATGTACAAGGGCCATGGCTGGCTCCAAGCAGTGCAATCACCTTCCAGCTACACATCAAGTACATGTGGGGAAATCAGCCCTTCACAGCAGTACAAGGAAGAGTGCTGCCACACCCGGAAGGGACTTTGCCAATTTGTTAATGCCTTCAAGAACACACAAATGCAGTTCATCTGATCCCACAACCTTCCAGCAGCAAAGCAATGTGTTAGTGCAGCCCTGACACATGGAAAGGTTCCTGGCATAAGAAAGCAAACACTCAAAGTAGAATGCTGTTCACTTGAACGTGGTTACTCCATAACAGCAGCTTCTCAACTGAGAAATAATTTGCCTCTCTCCTCCATGTAAAAAACGAGAAAGATTAATACTAAGTTTTATTCTGATCAGAAGAGAACAATGCTCTTTATTCTTTTCAATAAGAAAAAAAGTCTTAAAATCAAGAGCTAGAGCACCACTTACATAGCAGCTATTCTTATAGTCAGTGGGTGTTGCACCTCTTGCTGTGAAAATAACATGTTGAACTGGAAATCTAAATAGACATCTAAGCTAAGAGCTGTTGGCTCTATTTCCCATACAAATGGCTTATGGCATATGTGCAACACACCTGCAAGCTCCCACAGATTTCTCTAATGTTTGTGTTCAGCTTGCCAGAAAGCCTGGCTGGAAATAAGGGACCAAATTAATAGCCACTGACAGGGCCACTGGTTTGAAGCTACTTGTTCAGCATCAGGCAGGAATTGTACAGCAGGAGAGTCAGCTTTGCAGCTAAAGGCTGCTGCTGTCTCTAAACACCAGCCACAGTAGGTTATTGTCTGCAGATTTTGGTAGTTATTTGTTTTGCAAGGGATTCTGAGAGTCTTTCAGCAAATCAACATTCTCTAAAATAAAGCAAAACTTAACAAGTTAAGCTTACCTTTATGCAAGAAGTATATGGAGTATGTTATTTCATCTGGAGTATCAGAGGCCAGGCTGCAACACACACACAAGCCTCCTAAAAAGACAAAAAATGAAAAGAAAATTGACTTGTCACCCTAACCCAGACATCTTCACACTGCACAAAGCTCCAGCATGATGTTTTCAAATTAGAAACTAAAAATAATCTCTCAAAAAAGGTAAAGATTACAGACATACATATCTCTAACCGCTGTCTAGGTAGTGAACACAAGAGAGAGCAGAGGCAGCAATACAGCACAAGGGAAACCTGGTTTCTGACATGAGCAGTTCTTCTCTTTAGATGTACATTTTTAGCCCTTCCCCGTATAAAACATGCTTGCAGCCAGCAAACTGATCAAGCCTTTCTCTTCACAGACTGCCTCAATCTTTCTGAATATTTTCTATTCAGGGACTGTCAAATATGCACAGAGCATAGTAAAACAGTTTGTTTGCTTTCTAAGTAATTTCATATGGGCAGCAGCATGATATACTACTAGAACTTTCTCACACTAAAAATGATAGTCACTTCTCCCCTTTCCATGCCAGAGAGCCATTAATTCCTTCTTTAGGAGAAAGCCAGTCCCTGACACCAACTTGTTTAAGCCAAGTTACCCTGTGCAGGAATGCTTCCATCTCCCAGACTAATTCTAAACCAGACTGGTGCTGTTTTGACTCCACTGAATGGTAGCCTTCCCTCCATCCCTTAGAAAAACTTTAATCCACTTACTCCAGTGCTCTGGAAACTCGCTTTGGCATTACTGTTAGAAATGGCTTCCAAACCACATTACCCCAATGCAGTTGGGAAACCTGGGCCACAACAATGACCATTCACCTTTTACCCTTATTGGAAGTTCTTCACTTAAAAGAAAAAAAAAAAAAAGGAGGTAATACTAATAGAGATAAGTACAGAAAGTTTATGTATACAAGGTATACAGAAAAAGGGCACAGAGTGGAAAAAGTACAAGTATAAAAAAAGCACAGCTACCAAGATATTTTACTTGGTTACACTTCAGACCACAAGGCTGTACCACGGCTGAGGCACTTCACATGGCTGGAGAAGGTAAATACTTTTTGAGATGCATTTTTTTTTCCTGCTTATTCTTAGCGGGTTGAATACTGTTTGATACAGTTTTGCTTGGATATTTGAGTCATTCAGACAACAGACAGGGCATTTTGCCAGACCACTTGGCATCTTTCAGAGCATGCATAATTTTTAAAGTAGCAGCATCAGGACTCATGAGGAAGACTGGAAAAGCTCCAGCAACTCACAATGCTGTTTTATTATCAACAGCTCCCTTTCAACACTGCAGATTTCTTTCTTGTGTGCTGGAGCCTAGTGTATACAGTGTCCTGTAAATTGTGCAACATGCAAGTGAGTCTGTTCAGACTGAAGTGTCAGCGAGTGATAGATGCAAGCTGATCAGAAAAACAGTGTCTATAGGGGACTAACAGGACATGCACCTTTCAACTCCAGAACACTGGCTCAAATGTCAACAAACTTCGCTACAAACACCACAAAATATCAAACATTAACACAGATAGAAACATGACAGTCTCGGATCAGCAAGTGTCCAAGCAACGCTGTATCTGGCACAGTTTTGGCAACCCCAGGACAGCAGCCAGAGACTGAGAATATAAAGCAAATTCCCTTTCTATCCTTACCAGTGCGCTCTGCAAATTAGAGCTGGGTTGTGATAATGCTGAGAAAGCTTCTTATCTTATTGCACCTGTAAAGTAGGTGTTTCCTACAAAGGCAGAACCAGATCTTTTGCACTATCCATTTCAAAATCATTTGCAAACAGTACGAGCTATACCTAAATGTCACAAGGTGAGAAGACTAACATGAAAATATATTTGGATGTACTCTGATCTTTTCAGAAATAAAAAGGGCAAAAAAGATCTCAACCACAGCAAACTAAAAAGAAAAGGAAACATTTAAAAGCCTTTCTACTCACACAAGATAACAGAGGGTTACAAGTAACAATACAGTCAGCAGAACTAGGTAAACAATAGTTACAACTCTGCCAGTTGATAAATACACATCATCTCACTGAAATTTCCTATGAAGACAGGAAGTTTTCCCCAGGAAACTTTAACTTCAAATTCCTCATTTCTGTTCATGAAGAAGACATACGGCTGTACCAACATCTCAACATGGCAGTACAGCATCTTGTCTAGTTGTACTGGCTTCAGAGTGAGTTGCCTCACCTAACTGCAGCCCACCAAACATCTCTCATTTGGCTCCTATACAGTGAAGAAAATATGAATGAAGAAATATGGATAGAAGCAACCATCCCCTGGAGATGCCTATATCTCTCTATAGTCCATATGCTTAAAGTTCAGGCAGGTAAAGTTAGGTAATGATAGTACAGGGTTTATGTCATTTTGCTGCCTGCATTTCTTCGCAATACTGGACAAATTAAACTGAAAAGCATTTCTAAAGCACTAAAAGAAAACATAACAGCCCAGTGTTGTTTAAATAACCACAGAATTCTGGACAAAGTTAATTCTGAGACTAGGAATTCTTCATCTCAGCTCATCTAGAAGCACATAGGGGGGTTTATCTGGAGACATTTTGTCCATGCCGAGTGTAAAGAACAGGGCTACTTTTCTTCTACTGCGGAAGTCTGAGAAAGGAAGAGTGATTTCATTCAGAGTTCAGACTGGCAGTAACCAGTAACAGTTCTATTAAATGGGAAATTGCATGGAATATTCCATTTTGAAGTTATGCCAATTATTCTTTGCCAGAGATGTCCAAATGGTACAAATAGGGAAATCAGCATTAATATTTGAAGCATGCTAGCAGTTCCACAGAAGGCATCATCTGCACCCTAAAGAGCCTGCAGTTCAGTTTTGTAAATCACCACAAACAAGAGCACAAAAGGGAACTTCAGTGTGATTACCCACAGTGTCCTTCATCAACCAGTTCCAGTCTCACACCAAAACCATTTGCTCCAAACTGTTAATTACTCAAAATTGGTTATGCAAAGTAATCCTCAGTTTCAAACAACATTTAATGAAAAGCCACATACAATAATCTCATTTATTAAGTGTAATTGTCAAATTATGTGTTTTACATTAAACACAATGAAAAATGCATGTGAAAGGTTCCACACAGAAATTAAATGCTGCATTACCACATGGAAAAGAACATTCTACTTCAGGGTAACCAAACAAAAGTCCTGTTGGAGTAAGACTGGATTTCATCCTAAACTAAAAGGTGGTGATTCAGTCCAAACAAACCCTAAGGGAGGACAGGTTTAAACTGAAACATATATATACAAATCAATAACATTTTCCATTACTGGACAGGCTGTTTGTATAAGAAATAATCTGTCTTGCCAATAGATAAAAAGTAGCCTAATCTACATTTGGTAGATAGAAACTTGGCTTTCTCTTATTTCTAATTCCTTCCCTCTAATCTTTGTAAGCATGCAGTCTGTCTTGGTAAGAAAAAAATCAGTGTAAGGAAACTGTGCACTAATGGTCATTTCAACACAACAGCCAAATACGTCAGCTATTTCCCTGCATGCATACATCATGCCTTAAGAAGTGAGAGGTAAAGCCGCTTCTGCAACACGTCGCGTCCCTACACAACTCTGTAGATTAGTCAACGGTTAATCAAATACCATTTCTGCTTGGTGGTATGGTCTAATTTAGAAGCTGAAAATGCAGACATCTGTGGTGAACAGATGCCTCGAGACCAGTTTTTAATCAAAAAAGCTCATGGCATGCATTAGGATGCAGGAAAACCCTTAAATCCTAAAGGATTAAGGCATGTTTTAGATTTAAGTTTAAGTAATCATATATACACTAAATCCTTAAGTATCACATACGAGGTTTAGTATCATATACGTGGACCTAAATATAACAGCAGTATGAATCTCTTCGAATATGTACAGCATGTGCTCTGTTTACATGTGTCCACTCTGTACAGACACCAGTCCTAGCCAAAACCTTCCCTGAATTTACTTTCTAACAGATTTTTGGTCAGTTTTAACATTAAATTGCTCTAATGTAATTCGCGACCATGGCTTGGTACCACCTGCGCTCTGAAACTAGCCGAAAATGCTAGAGCGTGCTTAGACTCCGATATTTCACCATATGAGTGCATGATACCAGCTCTTTGAAGCTGGGTTACCAGATAATTTCTGCGTGACTGTTTTATTGTTAGTGTTAATATATAAACCCCTTGGTACTGTTCAGCTCATATTGGAATGTAGCTTTCAGAGAGAAAAAAAAAACTTCCAGAGAGTAAAAAAAAAAACAACAGTGCACAGTTGCCTTCTCTCTCACAGTTTCCTGTCAAATATAGTCTAAAGCAATACAAATTGATGAGAAAAATACAAAACAAACACAAAAAATATAAAAATAATAAAAAACCACAAAAATAATAAAAAAATACAAAAAGAATACAAAAATTCAGCTGATCAGAGACTGAACATGAGCTGGCTTCAGTGTGCGCTTGCAGCCCAGACAGCCAACCATATCCTGGGCTGCATCAAAAGGAGTGTGACCAGCAGGTCAAAGGAGGTGATCCTGCCCCTCTGCTCTGCTCTCGTGAGACCTCACTTGGAGTATTGTGTGCAGTTCTGGTGTCCTCAACATAAAAGGACATGGAACTGTTGGAACAAGTCCAGAGGAGGGCCACGAGAATGATCAGGGGACTGGAGCACCTTCTGTATGAAGATCGGCTGAGAAAGTTGGGGCTGTTCAGCCTGGAGAAGAGAAGGGTGCGTGGAGACCTCATAGCAGCCTTCCGGTATCTGAAGGGGGCCCATAGGGAGGCTGGGGAGGGACTCTTCACTAGGGACTGTTGTGATAGGACAAGAGGTAATGTGTTCAAACTTGAACAGGGAAGTTTAGGTTGGATATAAGGAAGAAGTTCTTTACTGTGGGGGTGGTGCAGCACTGGAATGGGTTGCTCAAGGAAGCTGTGAATGCTCCATCCCTGGCAGTGTTCAAGGCCAGGTTGGACAGAGCCTTGGGTGACATGGTTTAGTGTGAGGTGTCCCTGCCCATTGCAGGGGGGTTGGAACTAGATGTTCTTAAGGTCCTTTCCAACCCTAACTATTCTATGATTCTATGAAATTTCACACTCACACAAAAAACAACACAAAAAATACAAACACATATAATGCCTTACAAAGAAATTTAGTAACCATTTACGATTAAACTGTATAATTACTAGTGTCGATATACTTGTATTTATTCATTACCTGCTTTACTTGTAAAAACCTGAAGATTCAAAGATTTAGATGCAACATCTTGATCTTCACAGTAATCATATCCAAAATTCACAAGCCTAAAACCAAATAAAGATCACTAAATAAATCTGTTTTTTATCCACAGAGATTCATCACAACATAATGATCATGAGCACAGTCACTATGTAATCAAAACATACAAATTAAATTACAATCAAATGTTCTCTAATTCAAGTTACATTGGGCTTAAACCGATCTATCCAATACTGCTAGAAATGAGAATCCCAAGCCTGCAGACTGCTATCAGAAACCAACAATTCTGCTTACATCTGCAAACTTGATATTCACTTAACTACAGAATTGTCCAACTGTTTCTATACTTTGAAGTGAAAGCAAGCTCTGATCAAGTGCTTGAAATCCAAACATTCATCACACCTGAGAAGCCAAGGGTTCTGCAGCCTAACTCTATCATTCTTAGATCTGTAAAGCTATATTTCAATCTGCAGTTAGGTACAATAATTGCAGCGGAAATACTCAAAAATGAAAGCAAGAAAATCGCACATGGAACTTTTTATACCAACACATTCTTTTTCAGCCTCATGCTGCCTGTGCTTTAATGGTTTTACATATCTTTAAAATCTACAAATTCTATTTCTGCCATACAGAACACGCAATAAAAGACTGTAGTCAGTCTGCTGTGGCTTGTTTGTTTGTTTGGGCTTTTTCCAGAAAGGATTTTGATCTGGTTGGGATTTTCCCCCGGGTCATCTGCAATAATTTTGAAAGAAATAGAAATAAAAATAAAAAAGAATTATGGCTTTGAAGCTTTTAGAAGAGTTGGATTTTTTCAGTACTAACAGCAAGAGGATGCCCAGTTCTTTTAGGGCAACTTGCAAGTGCAGTAACACCACACCGAGCCTTCTGCGTATCACTGAGACATCCTGAGGGCCACAGTTTGGAGAAGATGTAACTCAACTACCTTCAGTTATTGATATTTGACCTAGTAGCTTTAGCTTCTCATTTCAAGGAGAAACAGGCCTTTTTAGAATGTAAATTAAACTGACTAAAGATAGATGAGTATGAGATGAATTACAGCTGAGAATCAGACCATCCTGACTAGGCTTTCCTCAGTTAAAAGGGAGCCTTAAGGAGACAAGCTCAGATGCAGTTACATGCACAGCAGACACACAGAATCTTAGCCTTTGAAAGTACAGGCTGGCTGGAAATAGCATGGTGGAGCAGGAAAGAGTACAGGCAGTGTCACAAAGGCTACTGGAGCTACTGGTCTGGTTAACTGCCCACTAAAACATGTAACAGCAATTAAAAAGGAAGAGTTTCCCTTGACAGGATTTTTGACATCACCACTACAACATGCCCAAGATTAAAACAAATTAATTTAAATAGGGCCAGAATACTCAGAGGGTTTAACTTATAGCTAGCTTTCTAATAAATAATATTTAGAAATGGCACCAAAAAGCAGTTGAGGATTACATTTCATTTACAGTTCACCACGATGAAAATAAGAGGAACTGGGGATTCAGACGCAGTGGTTGCATTATTGTTATGCTCAAGTACCCTGTAGGCAACTGGAAACAAAAATACTGTGGTTGGGACAAATTTTACTTTGATTTGTAAAACATCACCTGGTCCATTAAAAAGAAAGGAAAACAAAACATTCAAAAAACTTACTTTAATCGTGTATCATTTACAGATATATCCAGGTGCGATTCCAGCTGTTAACCAAAAATGAAAACAAACCTGTTTAGTGAGGTCAGTACACTATGATAAGCTATGATCCGTTTTTCAGACCAGTTAAATGTGTCAAACGCACATTTCACGAGATTAAACACTTTAACCAAGTTTATTTTCCTCCTCTAATCCTTACAATCACCCCAACAACAATAAAATAGATTCTTAAAAAAATAATGAGATAATTTAACTTAATTTCAGCCACTGGGACAAAAACAATCTGGTAACAATGACATGTTCAACAGCTGTATATTTTATGTTCTGTTGTCTGTATTTTGGCCACAGCAAATTCTCCTATCTTGCTTAAAACTGACACAAAATCAGTACATAGTGTCTCTGTCTCGTACATTTGATAACCCAGTTTTTCACACTCAAGTAAGAGAATAGTATGTCATGAATACCACCTACTTTTAGGTCAGTATCTGTGATTCCACTGAAGTTACCTTCCCGTGGCACAACCTGAATCTGACTGAATAAATTCTTGAAAAGAATATAATGAAAAAAGAACCCAAACACTCAAATAAAAAACTGAAAAGCAAAACACTGAAAAAAAAAAAGTTTTCCCTTGCATAAGCTCCAATAATAAAAGACACTGAAAGAGACCCTGTATTGGTGCCAGAGACACATAATTACATCCCACTCAAAACCACTGTATAAAATACTCATGACTTACTATTGAGTTAAAGTTTTCATCAGGATAAAACTGGACACATTTTAAAGTACTCTTTGATTCCTGGAATTAAAAGGATATGTATTGTAACTGATCAAATAGGAAGCATATCACATAGACTGAAAAGTGACTGGATACTCCACATCATTCTCCACTCTCAACCTGCTTTGCTAACAGATATGCAGAAGTTAGGGGACAAAATACAACTTTAAAAACCACATATAACCCCCAACAATAGCACTAAGACATGCTTCCTTCCTGTCTCAGATCATTATCTGCCTATCATCTATAATTGCGTGGGCTCTCACTTGAAAGAACCGTATTACATGTCTTTCACACATGCACACACACTCTAGAAGGCTGAAAAATAATATGTTTACCATACAGCAAAATGAACTGTATCTTACTTTGGCTAGTTCAGAAAGGGTATCTCAGAAACAAAACCAGGAATATGTTTTTCCATCACAGTTCACTTCCTGTTATTTCCTAATACTCATATTTTTTAGTGGCTAAGAGGAGTTAAGAAAAATCAATTTTTATTTAAGTAAAATGCATCAATTGCAAATAGTCCCTCAGACAAAACAAAACAAAACAATAGAGTTTCAGCATTTCTAGCCAAGAGCCTGCCCTCATTTGGTCACTCAGTAAGTTGTGTGTACAACATAATTTCTAGATGTGAATTCTCTAGAACACAGGCATTATACTCATGACAATTCTCGATAGATTTAAATCCTTTTGAACAAAAGGCCTTTCTAAAGTCAAAAAACCTAAGAAACCTACCCTTTTTTACATAAAAATCACTAAGACCACCAGTCTGCTTGCAATTTACTATGCACAAACAGCAGTTAAGGTAAGTCTGGCTTTTGCTTTAGGTTGAGGCAGGAAGAAGACATACAACTATAATGAAAACCAAACTTACATTATTATTAGTGCACACACTCAAAACTTTACTGTCATAAGACAGCCAAAGCCAAAACTACTAGAATGACTTTCATCTCACCTTTGGAACCACGTAGAAGAGCCTTTGCTCCATCATATCCCATTGTGCCCAAATGAGATCATCTGCAACTCTGGCTCTTGGAAGCTGACCTGAGTTTTGAATCACCTAAAGGAAAAGAAAGAACATTAGAAGTCATTAAATAAGATTCTCTGACAATTACACACAGTCTGTGCTTTAAAGAGAAAAGCAATTACAGGAGAGATGTAAATAATAAGGTGCTTGTATCAAATATTCCTCTTTTAGCTGCACAAAGTCCACTCTCGTTGTTTGCAAGGTGCTCAGTTTAAAGAGACCAGAAGCAGTTTTCATGGTACACCTACTACCAAGTACTTTCTCTGAAATTTCTTTGCTTGTAAGAAATTCACCACTTAAGCTGCTCAAAGCGAACAAAGAAAAGCAAAGAAAACTTAGGTATGCTTCACCATAGAGAAACAGAGAGGAGTTAAATATCACACTCAGCTCAGAACCAGCCACATTAACTACTGAAGGAAGATGCGTTAGCTCCAAAAGGATTTCTGTTCAAAGTCTCAGCCACATGATGGAGAGTACAGGCACCAGGGAAAGGCCTAGAACTGTAGAAAACCATTGGGATTGTATAAAGGCACTCTTGAAAGATGTAGGGAGACTTCCTGCCAACCAAACAATTCTGTTTGTTAGAAGGACATCAGATTCATCTGTTATTTCTGATGATGCTCTTAGTCTTCACTACTGTAGTGTAGCAGATAAAACCCATCTGCAATTAAAAGCAATGATAAACTTTGACTTCAAAGTGACTGAAAATCAGTCCTTAACATTTTCCTTCCAAGCTTACATTTGCCTCGATAAGGCAAAACATGGGCTTGCATGACACAATTCTTTACTATAATAAATGTTTATTAATAACAAATCTTCTAAACAAAACATCCACGATCTGTTGAAGAAAAATTCTTATTTAAAAGAGGAAAAAGATGAGGGGGAAAAAGTGATCGGAATATTCGCAGTACTTGAAGCATACCTAAGTTTTAGGTCTTTTGTTTGTTTACTTGTTTTTTTAAATGAATCCTTCACTGGGACACACAGACACTCAAAAGGCTAAGTTTGGAAGGTGACTGCAAATATGTTAAATGGTTTTAAAACATGAATTTATTTAATTATTAAAAACATATTTACTTAATATTTACTCCCAATTTCTATCATACAGACATATTCAACAACAAATAAATATGTAATTTTCCACACAGATTACAGAGTTTGCAAGTTTCTCAATAGGCTTTGTGATTAGCTTCTTAAGTTGGTATCTTATCAGTACTTTCTTTACTACATTTTGTGGTGCCCAAGTATAAAACTACACAAAACAGTCAGCTAAAATTACAGGTATTTAAATTTTCAATTAGAGCAAAAAAAACCCTCAGAGCCCCATATTTTAAGTCTTACCACTCTGTGTTCTTCTTCTGCAACTACACGAATCTCAAATTGCTCAATATCTTTAAAATACACACAAAAAGAAAGTCATTACAAACATACATTTTTATATGCTTTTATACAGCTTATTAAACACTCTCACCTCTTAGAATGCTATAAGAAAATATTAGAGCCAGGAAAGCTCAACTCAGCATAAGAGGAAATCTGTGATACATGAAGCCATGTGCCTATGCAAACACCTGGACTCTATTCCTTTCCTGAGCTGAGGGCGGCTTCAGCCACCTCGTGGAAAAAAATTCTATGCCATAAGTGAAGCACTGTCAGGAGGATGCTAACTGCAACATGCCAAACAAAGCTAAGGAGCACACACAGAAAGGCTACACAGGGCTGCATGCCTGTGCCCAACCCTGTTTCACTTCCTTTCCACCACACAGTCGTTTTCCAGGAAAAATTCCTGAAGTTATTGATCGTTTGTCTGTGTGAAGGGTGCAAAATTCACCCAGCAGATGTTCTAAGTGTTTCTGATACAGTTCACAGCACTATGTGAATGTATTTAGTAGGTGAACTCTGCCCACATAAGTCAAAGCAGTCACTATCTGCTCCAAATTTATAGACAGCTATAAATAGACAGTTCTTGTTTTTATTTTTAGAAATAAAGGTAACTGATGAATGAATGAAATAAGCAAATAACTGCGGTCAAAGCTGGCCATTCTGCTAACACTGAAACAAAAAATTCCATTATACAGTTATCTGCAATACCTACAATAGATCTCACCCTTTTTTCCTGTTCTTTTCCAAAAGTCTACCAAAAATGTAATCTATAATGAAGATCTTAAATAAAAGAATATGTATATACACACTATCAAAATATTAACTCACATTTATCTTCTGAAACTAGCAAGAGGCGACTTTCTGTAGGAGCATTTCTGCCTTCAACTGGGTAAAGAAACTAAACAGAAAGTTTAACAAACGTAAGTAAACAACCAGAGTACTTTAGAACATTAATCTAAAATGGTGGGGTTAGCTGGAAAGTTACGTATTTTTAAATTAAGACAGGCACACTAATGATATTTAATTAATAAAAATAGCTATTATTACAGACTAATAGTCACCAATGACTATAATTGCAAGCTTCATGGGACTGAAGAGAAATAAAAAAGTAGCTTTCATGTCAGAGAAATGCCCCACATCAAGCATTTTATGAAGTTTCTCACTTTTTTCATGCTACGAACACACTATCTCTGTAACAGTTGCAAGGTAAGGCGAGATATTTCTGCACTCCATCACTCTTTCCTCTCTAGAATAGTGGATTAAAAAGGTTTATATTTAGATTAGTTGAATAATTTACCTGTACTTGAACACAGCTATCCACAGCCTTTAGGACTCTCACATTATTAATGGGATGAATTTCAATTAGCAAGGCTAAATACTTGGATACTGCAAAAAGAACATGGTTTAGGTAACATTAATTTTTAGCAAAAGAATGCAGTATTTCAAACAGTATTGAAACAATCCACAGTACCTGACTGTAACAGCTGACTTACTCTTTCTTCCTCAGTATATTGACGGAAGCTGACCGCTAAGGAGAAGAAGACAAAACCCAAAAACATTCCACAGTGAGCTTGCACATTCGACATTAATCCTATCAAACATTCTTTGAGAGCAAGCAGCACATTTTTTTTTTTTTTACCAAAAGCATTTATATTAAAGGAACAGAAGCTCTTCTAGATGTAGGAAGCATATATAAAGAGGGGGAAGCGAACGACAATATCATTACAGCTGTGCCTTTGTTACCTACATTACCTAGCGATAGATCAACTGAAATGCACAGATAGCTGTAAGCAACATAAGGGACAAAACAGATTTAAGTAATTCTAGACCCAAATACATCATCCTACTAAACTAAAAGACAAAGCACGCAACAAAAATTATGATAAAACATTTATTTACCCAATAATGTCCTTTCATTGTTGACAGAACAACTGATGATGCGGAGATCCCTCTCAAACATATAGAGGTGCTATAAGGAAACATATAAATGCTAATAAATTAATTTTAAATCCATCTAATTACTTCTCCGTAGCAAAACACTGCTGACCAGTACATCAGTTTCATTTTTAAAGCAAATAATTTCATGGCCAGAAGAAACATATTTCAAGCCTCAATTGTATAATTTATTTTTTTTTCTCCTTCTTACTGGTTCTTTCGAGCTCTACGTTGCCACTAGAGCAGCACAGCAGACCTTTATGTAAACACAAAATTTCATCCATTTCATACTGTTATGGGGACACCTGCAACGGCACGTTATGATTCCAGCCACTGAATTGCAGTACATTCAGTTTTCTACATTCAATTTCATACAAGTTGTAGCAGCAACCAGACTGAGGTTTTCTTTCATAACAAACAAAACCCCCAAAATTTACTTTTAAGCATACATGTTCAGTATGAAGAGGAGTGGAAAGGGCTTGAACTGGTTGTTCAGAAGTAAAGGCTGCAGACATGTTGGTTTACTGTTCCCAAATCATTCAGATGTTCTGTAATGTTCTGCATAGTAATACTACTGAGCATCATTCATATACCATTCTGGTGTCTTTTCTGTTTCAAACAAGTATTCACTGTTTCAAATAAGCACATACTACTTAAGGATATAACATACTGTGCTGCAAGGCATCCAAATCTGAAATGCTACAGCACTTTGACCAGGGAAAATACTAGCAATGGTCTCACCTCATTTTGTTTAGTTTGAGGATCGTACAATCCGATGTGCGTATTTCTCTGATTTCCCTACAGATGAAAACAAATTAGCACTGGCAACGTAAATATATACAAAGTTAAACATTGATTTATTTTTTTCCTACCTCCCTCTCCTCTTCCCCCTGCCCCTTGACACGCATCCTCACACACGTCCCTGTCCTATAAACAGGGAGTTAATCACTTAATGCCAAGAGAGAGAGGCAAGAAACAAAGATTTTTTTTTTTTTTTCCTTTTAGAACTAAGACATAGTATAAAGCTGAAATGTAGCCAATCTGCAGCCCACGAGAGGCTGCATAACCCAAGTGCCTCCCTCTCACTTTGGTTCTAAACTGGGTTTAGTTATAGGCAGCAGAGCCAGGAGGAGAGATGTCTGTGCGAGAACAAAAGGGGATGCTATGGCCTCTGGAATGTTTAAGGCTGGTCTTACAAACCTCACCAGCTTGGTGGGTTGCTGCTCTGAAAGGGAGCACAGAAACATCAAAAGTCAAAAACACAGCTTCCAGCAATCTGGCTGCAGGCTGGAAAAGGATTTCAGCTCTGGCTTAGGAAATGATTGTTTGAAGGCTAAATATATTTCACAATTCAGATGACACCTTTAGCCTGCTGCTTTTGAAAAGAAGCATAATACAGATCCTTTCTAGCTGACTGATAACAACATACAATGATCTTGTTTGTGGCACTTCTAAGATTATATAAATCACAACTTTTCTTCTTGGTAATTTTTACCATGCTGTAAATAGTCAAAATTTATTTGACAAAAAGCTGCTTGGCAGCATATATTGTGCACCAATTGAAACTGAAGTCCATTAATGTACTGTAGGTATAGGCACTAAATTGCTGAATTGTTGAAATGCAACCCAGCCACACAGGCTTGTACTCAAACAGCAAGCATCATTGTTTTTAATGACAGCTTGTGGGGAGAGGGGAGAAGTCTGTGGTTATTTACAAAGTTATGGCATCTCGCTTTGTGAAGTTAAAACAAAAGCCTGAGTATTCTCTTCCTATGGGGTCTATTTCTGATTGTCTCATTATTGTTGTGGCACTGACAAAAGTCTTTGATTTCTGATTTAAACAAGGAAAACAAAATGTCTTTGTATTAAGACACGGGCTTCAGGCCTTCTAATTTAAGGTTAAGCAAGTGCTTTCACAAATAACCATTCTTTCCAAGTGTGTCTGAAACACTAACATCCTCCATACTTAGCCACTGAAAAATATACTTTGTAAGTAACAGGACTACATAAGTGCCCATATCTACACATAAGCTGAAACACTTGTTTTCATGTTTACTCTGAAGTTTCTCATACTGCCTTGCAAAACAGAACTGCTGACACTAGAATTCACTTCTGTTAAAAGTGTCTTCCTTTACGCCAACTATCAACCTCACAAAAGACAGACACTGTCAAAAGTACAGTATAATGTAACAATAAAATAAGCTTGAAAATAAAGCTCATTCTTCACCTTTCCCTGATTTCACACAGAATGCACTGGATTTTCTTCAACTTAGCAGACAATTGTTGCATTCTATTTGTATCTACCAGGCAACAAGCCAGGGCAGCTCCATTTAGTTTACATCCTTGATTCTGCTCTATCCTCACTGAGAATGTCACAGCTAAGTTTGCTGCTACAAAGCCAGCAGGAAAGCCTCACAGACATACAGCTGTGTCTCACAGAAGTGGTAGCTCATTAGTTAATCATTAAGGAGGAGAGAGAGAAAGAGATATTAAGCTGCCTTAACAACTCAGCAAGGTCTGTAGTTTGTTAGAAGCTATAATGACATTGTGATTTCACCAATAGAAGTTTAAGGAAACAGAAGGACCAACTGCAGACACAATAAACAGTCTATTTCGCTCAGGTAAGCCTTCCAGTGTGATGATGTATATTAGTAGAACAGAATAGTAAAACACAAAGAATACTTGCATTTTAGAATGTTTGTAAAAATTTAAAAGAAGTGTCAAACCGGAGCCTCAAACTACTCATCGACTAAGACGCACGCACCAAGATGTTTTTTTCTTCTATGTAAATATGAATAGATACTCCTCTTAAAAGGTTTGCAGTAAACCCCAAAACCACAGAACTATACCCATATGCTGCCAATAGACTGTTTCAGAAAAGGAAACATTTGGATTGAATCCTTATTAAGTCAGTAGTAAAGTGTAAAAAGAGAGAGACACACAATACTTCCAGCCTTTGTGTAGCATTCTACCCTTAAGAGGGAAGAGGGTTGGGTAGGGGGAAAATCAGTCCTGCTTTAAGGTACCACAGTCCTAAGGTGTGACTGCAGATGACACAGACATAACTAAGTTAACAAAAGTATAGACATCAGGGAAGACCCAGGGTTAGCAGCTCAGGACCCAGCCCGGTCAGAACACTGAGCGAGTGCTACACAGCCACAGCCTGGGCCATCACATGTGTTCCTACCAATATACAAGCCACCTCGACTAACATGAGCTTTGGCACTGACATACTCACATATTCTTATCATGAATGTAGACACGTGTGGATGCACTGACTTCCACTGACATCAACAGCACCTTAGGGGGTACAAACACTTCCAGCTGATGAGCAGAATTTTTACTGACCCAACAAAGAAATGTGTACAGCCACAACTTCTTTCTGGGAGAAACATCATATATTTAATGCAATACCACTTTAAGATACATTTGTTTGTGAGAAAACTCCTGTAAGCATCTTCCAGTTTTCCCATTAACAACTGTAAAAAACACTTCTAGTAGAAGCAAACAAAATACGGCTGCATCTTTCCAAATAGAGGAATAAAGAGATGCTGGTTCTTCAGCAGCTGACTCACCCAAGAGAAAATGATCAGGCTATGTCCTAGTAAGAGAACAGGAAAAGCAGCAACAGCAGGATCTCCTTCCTCTTTCACCATCACATTTAAGACGTGAAAACTGCAAGCACAGCTGTGCAATTTGCTAGTTTCAGTTATCAGACTCTGTATCACAGTATGTTAGAGATTGGAAGGGACCTCAAAAGATCATCTAGTCCAATCCCCCTGCCGGAGCAGGAACACCTAAATAAGGTTACACAGGAACGTGTCCAGGCGGGTTTTGAATGTCTCCAGAGAAGGGGACTCCACGACCTCCCTGGGCAGCCTGTTCCAGTGTTCCGTCACCCTCACTGAGATGTTTCTTCTCAAGTTTAAGTGGAACCTCTTGTGTTCCAGTCTGTACCCATTGCCCCTTGTCCTATCATTGTTTGCCACTGAGAAGAGCCTGGCTCCATCCTCACAACCCTCCCCCTTTATATATTTATATACACTAATAAGGTCACCCCTCAATCTCCTCTTCCCCAAACTATAGAGACCCAGCTCCCTCATAAGGGAGATGTTCCATTCCCTTAATCATCTTAGTTGCCCTGCGCTGGACTCTCTCCAGCAGGTCCCTGTCCTTCTTAAACTGAGGGGCCCAGAACTGGACACAATATTCCAGATGAGGTCTCACCAGGGCTGAGTAGAGGGGAAGGAGGACCTCTCTCGACCTACTAACCACCCCCCTTCTAATACACCCCAGGATGCCATTGGCCTTCTTGGCTACAAGGGCACAGTGTCGGCTCATGGTCACCCTGTTGTCCACCAGGACCCCCACGTCCCTCTCCCCTACACTGCTCTCTAACAGGTCGTTCCCCAATCTATACTGGAACCTGGGGTTGTTCCTGCCCAGATGCAGGACTCTACACTTTCCCTTGTTATATTTCATCAAGTTATTCCCTGACCAACCCTCCAGCCTGTCCAGGTCTCGCTGGATGGCAGCACAGCCTTCTGGCGTGTCAGCCACTCCTCCCAGCTTAGTGTCATCAGCAAACTTGCTGATAGTACACTCAATTCCCTCATCTAAATCACTGATGAATATATTAAATAATACTGGTCCCAGTACCGACCCTTGAGGCACTCCACTAGATACAGGCCTCCAACTAGACTCCGCCCCATAGACTATAACTCTCTGGCTTCTCTCCTTCAGCCAGTTCACAGTCCACCTCACTACCCGATCATCCAGACCACACTTCCTCAATTTAGCTGCGAGGATGCTGTGGGAGACTGTGTCAAACGCTTTGCTGAAGTCAAGGTAGACCACATCCACCGCTCTGCCATCATCCATCCATCGTGTTATTTCCTCATAAAAGGCTACAAGATTGGTCAAGCATGACTTCCCCTTGGTGAAGCCATGTTGACTGCTCCTCATAACCCTCTTATCCTTGATATGCCTTAAGATGGCACCAAGGATAAGGTGTTCCATTACTTTCCCAGGAATGGAGGTGAGGCTAACCGGTCTATAGTTACCCGGGTAACTGTCATTCAGCCATTCCTACCACACAGGCTGCAGAGGTCACTTTATTCCCAAAATTAGAAAAGAGAAACTACACAGAACTTCTTCTGTGTCTTCCTATGCAGCCTTTACCCCTAGGTTCAGTGAACTAAGCCTAGGTGTTGAAATGCTCCTGAGAGTCACTGGCTTATTCAGTCAATAGAGTCCAGTGGATATTGGCACCTCCTACACCCCACACACCTCTTCCCAAAGTACAGGCTACAACTAGCGATTTCTCTAAACTCTACCAACTGTTTTGACCAGATCCCCACTGAATACAATGGGAGCTTAAACACCTAGCTCAAAGGCAGACCTCTAGCTGTGTGAACCCTGAGCTACAACTCCTGCCTTGTGCCAGTTGCAAGAGACTGAACAGCATACAAGGCAGTTGGAATTCGCTGTCAGAAGTCCAAAAAAGTTGAGATTCCACAGACACTAGAAAGCAGCAACATCACACATACAAAGCACCAAATCTCCTGTTGGTTAGATGGCTTATTTACTTTCATTAAGTCTTTCTACAGTTCTGAGCAACGAAAAAAATATTTTGACACATTCTTTAGTGTTGTTTTTATGGTTACTGTTGTCTTGTAGAGACTCCCCTCCCTCTGCCTGTACTAAAGGAAACATCCACCCACAGTTAAAGTATATGATACCCCGATGAAGGCCTCACCTCTTCCCTTAACCCTAAGGAAGCTGAAGAGTTTTAGCATTGTTGAGCTGGAGGGGAACGAGAGGCAGCCTTATCCTACTGGAGTCTGCTACCTCCGACCTGTACTCTTCAGGAACCAAGATCTTCCAAAATCCAGATGGGTCTACCAATTTCTCCAAGTTGCACAGACTTATCTCATCAAAGGGAAACCTTCGCAAGCCATTTAAAAATCACTTGGAATTGAAACTACAGGCATTTCAACCTAAAGCTATACATATGCCACAGAGAGCAGGATCCTGTGTTAAAAAGCAGAGCTCTGGATACTTCAAGACACCAAATAAACAATGGTTACTTCAGACTACTTGCAATAAATTGCTGCAGATTAATCTTAGAGTAACAAAGAAGCAAAGGCAGAAGCAGAATTAATGTTAGCTAAATGGCATCTTAACATACATATTGGTAGGAGGAAACATATTTAACTAAAGAAGTGCCAAGGAATTTAATAGTCAGACTTCCCTGAGAAATTCTGAGGATGAAAGAATGTGCTGCTTATGAAGAGTTTATCTGTTAAAGAAATCACATTTCATTCAGGGTGAGACTCTGGCCCCCAAAAATATCAACAGCAGAACCCCTATGGACTTAATGAGATAAACTCTTTACTCTCCATTTCATTATTCTTAACCTTTGTCTGAAGTGGAGATGTGCATTTTACCATTGCCTAACCCCTCAATTGCAATTAGTTGAGTTTTCGTGTTCTAACCCTCACAAGGAGCCAATTAGGCATAGATACACATACAGAGTTATTATCTGCTATATTTCCATTAATTTCTGAGACAGACTTACCTTCCAGGTATAAATAATTTTTCCATTTCTTTCAACATTTACAATGTAGAGTGCTGATGAATTCTCAGAAGTGTCTGAAATAATAAGAATCAAAAGGCATAGAATTTTCACTTGAGCTGCTTGACCTAAGCACACTTTAAGCAAAGATATATTTTTAAATATATTTTTCATAGAATCATAGAATAGTTAGGGCTGGAAAGGACTTTAAGATCATCAAGTTCCAACCCCCTGCCATGGGCAGGGACACCTCACACTAAGCCATATCACCCAAGGCCTCGTCCAACCTGGTCTTGAACTCTGCCAATTTTTACATTTAAGTATTTATTTGTACATGCCAAAATTACTCCCTTCTGGAAAAAGAGAATATTTCTTATACCATGATTTAAATCTGATCAACTTCAATACAAAATAGTTAGGGGGTTTCAAAACACATAGGAAAGAACCGTGAACTCCTAACTCTTCATTATACCTGTCACTCTAACGGTCACTACCCTTTGTGATGCTTTTTCCGTATCTTCCATTTACAGGAGGATAAAAAAGTCCTAGGTATTCATTTATACACAGTGCGCAGTTCAAACAGTGAAGCTGCCCTCCAATCCTCAGAATACTGCAAGGAGATAGAACTAGCCCAAGTAAAGTGTCACTCCCACCTGCCCCTTCAGCATCCCAAAAGAATGCCTGGAAACAAACTACATCTTCACAGATTAGTTCTACAACCGTAACACCTCCAAAAAAAACCCAAAAGCCAAGAATCACAAGATTAAACACCATATATATATGTATATAAATAGATGGAACATATCTACAGGTACAAGAGAATTAAGCAATGCAGGTCAGGAGATATGATGTGGGGCATGAATTAAAGAGTAGAGTTAAAAGGGAAACCCATGAATAGGAAGCTAAGATGGACACAGAAAGAGAAAAGCACATCTGAAGAAAGCAGCACAAAATAAAAACACAAGAAAAAATGATAAATTATCATACTCAAGCTTTCCTGATGCTGCTTTTCTCTTTTCTAATCTCTGCAGCCACTTAAAATGTGTTCACCTCAGATGGCTAAAAGTGTCACTAAAAGTGGAAGTTTTGCCCTTAATAAGGCACAACTGGTCCTAGTTTTAAGATAAAGGTAGCCTGCATTTCAGTAAGCATCAGCAAAAACAATTCTCCATAACTCTCGGCACATACTTAAGTTCAACACTATTTACTTTGCAGTAATCACAACGCATTGACAGAAAGAAGACACATGAAACTTAGTTTCACAAACCTGATATTATAATCTAGCTTGTACAGCTTCCAGTGATAAGAAAAAAGCTTTTTTGCAAATACTACCAGAAGGAAATAAATTCTATATTTTGCTGTGAGAGGACAACAAAAATCCTTAGTGCACATTTAACAACGCACCAAGTGTACACTTAACGAGGCATCACTGGTTTCAGATCACTCAAAATACACTACAAAGTAGGGCTAGCTGGTGATGACTGAGAAAGGCTCAGATAACCGTATGCTCAGCTCTTCTTTTAGTGTGAACTTCCCAGAATTTAACCACCACCTCAAACTTTCAAGATGAGTACCAGAGTCTCCACACTTCTCTCTCATACAGTACTTTCTCAGAAGATAATTTAGGCAGAGAACAAGGTCCACAAGACAGCTCTGTATCAATGAATTTCTCTATCACCTAATCCAAAGATCTTAAAGGTGTTGAAAAAGTTCTGTATCAGAAGTTGATACAGCTCATGTCATTGAACATTGTCAGTGAGAATAGGGAGCCAAAGAAGAAATAGCAATCGCCTCTGCCCTTGGAAAGTCTTGCAGTAAAACTGCACACAGAATTACAACTTCTTTCTCATTCCCACAGGTGAGACCAGCTGATGAAGGGCTGCAGAAGAACCAACCCAACCTGTCTGCCCAGCAAACAACTCTTATCAACATACTCAGAAGAAGGCAGGGTTTGATTTCCTGAAAGCCATTACATGCAGCTCATACAAAAATAAGTGGAATAAAGAGAACAAGGCTGGTTCATTTCACTTGCCGCTCCCTTCTCTTCATCAGAGTTGCTCCCAGCTCCCATGCCATTAGAAATTCCCATATGCTGTCAAGGGCTTTCAAGTCCTCAGGAAAGAGGATTATAAATAACATCTGACACCACTGACACAAAGTACCATAACTCCTGAAAATCACCTGCTCTCTGTGCACAGGTATTTCTTTAACATTTAAATGAAACTTTTCAAATTCCTACCTCCCACCTCCACATCCCCAATACAACAGCACTACACCAGAGGAATAAGTCAGTATACATCGACAAAAGTTGAAATGCAGTATAGCAATGCTGATATCTGATCAGATGCAGCTTCCAGAGTCGATTCTTCTGATTGTGCATTACAAGAGAAATTTACTGCACAAAGAGTTTGTATTACGTTTTAAGAAGCTGAGTACAACTGTCCCATTCCCAAACACAGGTCAACACCACTCTGAGACTATGTTAGAACAGATTTATAGGTTGACTCAAATGCATCACAGATGAACTGATAAATGTACAGGTTAACTGATAATGCATGGAGAATCTCAGAATTTTACCTCAAACCCCTTCAGTGCACTATTCAACAGCTTTCAGCAATCTAGTACACATGAAATAATTTTTTACAGCTTTTGTAACTGATGGCTTGGTAAATTATTTTATAAAAAAAAAAAACTGACACTTTCTGGTCGACCTTTACCAAATTTTTACTAATATTTGGTAACAGCCCCTCAACACGGGAGCAAGTTAAGCATTCTGAGTTAATTAAAAGCAACTAAAGGAGCAGAGGTTTCAAGTTCATCACACAGTGCATTGACATCTATTCCTACTAAAGCAATTAGCATTACAGTAGGGTTTTTTTAGGCTAAAAAAAAACCAGCTGCGCTGCAGATGAATGAGAACAAACACAAGCAAAAAGCCACAGAGCGACAAACGACAGTGGGGTCATCCCTTCTTTTTCGCAAACATGACATCAAGCCCCTGCTATGCGAACTATCACACGCTGTTGTGGCAGCTAACACTTTACCTAATTTTAACTAATGCTCATTTACCACATAGAAAAGAAGTGTTTGGAGGTTTTCTTTCCTGACAGAAAGGGGAGTCGTGTAGGAGGGAACAATGCTAAAAGTCTTTGAGGGGTGTGGGAACCCAAACGCGCGTGAAACAGCAGCAGACAGGAGCTGTGGGGTGCAGCTGACGTGCAGAAGCGCTCTCGGATGAGGGCAGCTCCGTGAAGACAATCGCACTTCCCCGCCTCAACTTCCCCCGGCCACCGGCGGGACTACCCCTAGCGCACACTCAGCCCCGGTGCCGGCACAGCTCGCTGAGCTGGAGACCGGCCGGGGGAAGGATGAGGGTGACAGCGGCCGCTTCCCTGCCCGCCTCCGCAGGGGGACACTCGGCCGCCGCTACTACCCCGAGCCCCGGCGGCCGGAAGCGGCGCGGCCCTCCCTGGGGAGCGCGTTACCTAGAGCGGCGGCCCAGCCCCTAGCCGCCAGCCAGGGGACCACATCCCTCTGCAGATCAAACTCGGCTACCAGGTGAAGCAGCATTCCTCCTTCCTCTCGCCCCGGCCCACAGGGCACGAAGGGGACCCGCCAGCCTAAAACGACCCTACTGACACCCCTCCGCACTATCTCTGCGGGACAGCCACCGCCACGGGCCTGCCCGCTCCGGCCGCCTCGGCGCCCATTGGGAGCGGCGGGTGTCACTCAGCTGCCGACGGCGCGGAGTGGCTGGGCGCGCTCCCCACTCCCTCCGGCCCCCTCAGCCAGGGGCGGGCGGACGCGCTGAGGGGTTCCGGCGGGGCAGGTCCAGCTCCGGGGCCTGGTGCTGTTCCGCTTCCTACCGGCGGTCGTCCCCGGAATCTCGCCACCGGCGCAGCGTGCGTGAGATGTTGGGGGGGGGCTTCAGGTGGACTCGAAAGGCATCGTTTGCCTGTTGGCGCCCGGGCTTCTCCCGAGGAATGCTGGAGGAAGGGGTGATGGTTTTCGAGGCCTCACTCACGGAGTGCGCAGAGTGCCTTAAAGAATTACCTGCGGGTGAGGTCTGTTGTCAAGCTTCAGCCCCTCGGTGTCTGCTGATGAGAAGGCCCCAGCTGTGAATGCTTCCATCCCTGGCAGTGTTCAAGGCCAGGTTGGACGAAGCCTTGGGTGGCATGGTTTAGTGTGAGGTGTCCCTGCCCATGGGGGGGGGGGGTGGAAGTAGATCATCTTAAGGTCCTTTCCAACCCTAATGATTCTATGTTCTGTGACATGCACGTTCCCCCTGGAAGTGCTGTGTGTTTTCAGGAATTCCAAGCAGCATTCCCATTTTCTGGTATTGTGCACTCTGAAATGTGGAATAGGTCGAGTCTTTCTGTGCAAACTGCTTTGGCAGAGTTTAGAATGTCCTCTCAGATTAGGCCTGACCTAATCCTGCTTTTAATCTGTCTACTAGCAAAGGAAATAAAGCTTAGTGTGATCTTAGGAAGTTTTGTGGTTGGTTGCTTGATTGGTTTGGGGTCTGGGTTTTTTTTTTACCTTTTGAAAACACTTGTCACACAGATAAGATGCTACTCCATGGCTATGTATAGCCTGCCTGTAATTACCATTTCCTTTCTGACATGTGCTGGCTGATGTCAGCCAGCTAAAAGTGGCATGAAAGTGGAGATGCTGCAAGCTAGACGTACACCAAGTACAGAACAGCTTGAGCCTGCTCTAAAAGGTGATCCGGTACCAAGTTTTTTCCCTGTTATTGCTAAGCTTTGGAGCTATATAAAGATGAGATGAGAATCAGGTACGTCTGCAAAGTGCCGATGAAAGGCAAGTCAGTAATCAAATTGCGACGCAGACATACTGTGTCTCTTAAACCGTATTGCCAACTTCTACAATTTTATCACAAGTTTCATAATCAGCATTCTAAAAGCTTCTTCGATCAAATGACTCTGCAAGAACTTCAGCTTATATTTTCACTGTTGTGAAATAAAGCTTGAAAATGTGACTGGAATATTTACTTCAGAGGCAAAAGCAGAAAACAGACAAAAGGTCCCAAATGAATGCATTCTTTAAGAGATGAGATGGGGCTAATCCATGATTATGAGTATTTGGGAATGACACAGACGGAGAGGCAAGCAAAGGAGGGAAATGAAGCCAATGAAATGACTGATTCTTTAAGTATGTGCAGAAGGGGATTTTTCTTATGGAGGAAGTCTCCTGTGCCCAGTACTATAGAGTACATTTAAGGCCAGGGTGAAGCCAACTGGCAGAATTTCTGCTTCTGCTGTGAAGCAAAACAAAAAGAAATACGGAGATATGTTACAGAGAGGCTGCCTGTAACAGGAGACTCCAAATGCAAAAAGAAAAGAAATAAATATAGCTGCCTAGTCTGATGGTCCTGCATTAAAACAAAACCCAAAACAACTCTGTCACTGTTCTTTTGTTTCAACATCAACCACGTCATAGAGTTCTTGAAAGAGAGCCCACATAACTGATGGATGAATTATTCTCTAATATTTACAGACCAAGAATCATACAACAATGCTGTTCTAGAGTATCTTACACAATATGTGAAAGGCCTTTTGGACAGTAGGAGCTGCATGTAGTTAACCAGCTGGTTCTGCTGTAGACCTTAAGCTGGTTAACATGGTTAAAGGAAATTGTAAATGTTCTTAGTTGATGCGAGCTGGTGAGGAGCTACACAGGCAAGTTAGTGTAGAGGAGATTAATTCACTCTTGGCTTGTGCATAGGATCTTTTCTGTAGTCCTTATTCAGCAAAGAACTGCAAGAGTTTGTAATGTTGCTAAAAGCGTTTGTACAAGACTTCACAGTCAGATGTGCAGTAGGAAAAACCTTTGAGGAAATAGTTAACAAAATTTCCTCGCACACTGGGTTTTCACTGCAAATGATTCTTCATTATTTTTGTATGCCCAATACGTTTGTATTACCTCACTGAATTTTATAAATATGCTCTCTCAAGACTCCTGGTATAGAGTGGGATCTCACCTCCAGTGCACCATCCCAGAAACTTGAAAGCTTCCTTGATGTTAGTCCCTGAAACTGAGGCAACAGATATTCTCTCAGAAGTTTCCCTATCTTTTCAGTGAGAAGAAGGAAGTGGTAGCCTAACAGATTAAGAGATTTAAGAAACAGGAAGGGATGAGGTGATTTGTGATGACTGTCAAGGTTTAGAGATAGAGAAGAGCAGCCATGTAGAGATGGGGAAATTAGTGCCAGCAGGAGCTGAAGGAACTGACAGGAGCAAGGAGAGACGGAACAGAAGAGAATGAAGAAGAAGAAATATGGAAAGACAAGCAAAGGTTTATAACCTAGGTAGAACTAAGGTCAGTCTTCCCAGAATTGACATCAGGATTCTAGACTCTCTCAATTGTGTAGCAAATGATTTGAAATCCACTATTTTCGGTGGCTTATCCATATAAAAAGACAATAGATTACTTTGGCCAGTTTTTTTTATTCAAGTGGTGAGGTTTCCTTGTGAGTATTAAAGGCCCGGCACTGCTGATGACCCTTGGGCCTGTCACTATTACTCCATGGTACGATCATCTATGCTTTCTCAAAAAACCCACACAAAATTATATCTAAAAATGACAAACTGCTTCTGGTTTAGGTAACAGTCTTACTTGTATCTTGTTCCGTTTCTGAAATGTAATCCATGCTATAAACAAAATGAAAGGCAAATCCTGAGGAAAATTTGAATTGCTGAGGTGAGCAGCTCGAGAGAGAGGACGCCTGCAACACCGGAGCGGGGGGAGATCAGCGTCCAGGAGCCTCAACTCAGAGCAGCAGGAGCCACCGAGGGACCCTCGAGTCCTCGACAGGACTCGCCCAGGAGCCGGCAGCTCCGCTGACGCGAGCAGGGACTCACAGGGGGCGGAGCCAGGAGGGGCGGCACCAGCCCTGACTGGGTAAAAACCTGCCCCAGGGAGCGCGGCAAACAGGGCGGGTCGAGGCAGTGCGGGGAGGATGGTGAGCACTCGCCTCATGACCAGGGCCCGGTCTGGGAGCTCTGCTCTGGCTGCCCCGGCGGTGGCAGCGTAGGCACCCAGGCAGAGCCGATGAGAGGGGAGGCTGCAGTGCAGAGCTCGGAGTGTAGAGAGTGCCTGCACTGGTCTGGTGAGGGGAGGGCGCACAATGGGCAGGGCTGCACTCGGTGCGCCCTGGTGGAGGTCCTCTTGCAGCAGGGGCTGAGCTGCAGGACGTTGTTAATAGGCTGCAAGGTGTCAGGATAGCTGAGAGGAAGCAGGAGTGCTTGCTCCAGGCCCAAACTGTGCAGGGGCCTCAAGCGGCCCCTGTAGCTCATGAAGAAAAGAAGGAGGCCATTAACCCGGGAAGATGGGAATTAGTAACAAAACAAAACAACAAACAAACAAACAAAAAAGGAGGAAAAGGACAATTAAAAGCAAGGGGCTTCCTCCTGAATCTGTTGTCCCCCACCCAGAACCGCTTTGCTGTCCTGCAGGGGGCTCATGAGGAAACACTCGCACCAGAAACAGCCGTGCCAGGAAAAAGTGGCGGGTCGTAGTGGTAGGGGACTCTGAAAGGAACGGAAGCACTCGTCTGACAGCCTGACCTGGTCTCAAGGGAGGTGTGTTGCCTACCAGGGGCACGGATCAGGCATGTGGCAGAGAGGCTGCCTGCTCTGGTAAATCCCACGGGCTATTACCCACTTCTACTGATACATGTGGGTACTAGGGATATAGATAGCAGTAGCATGGGGAACATAAAGAAGGACTACAGAGCCCTGGGAGAGGTGGTTAAGGGCTCTGGAGCTCAGATAGTCTTTCTGTCAATTCTCCAGGATACAGGGGAGGACCTAAAAAAAGCTAGGAGGATTGGCCAGGTTAATAAATGGTTAAAAGTGGTGTCATAGTCAGGGGTTTGGGTGTCTTGAACACGGGACCCAAGTTCGTAAGCCAGGTCTAGTGGGGGCTGGTGGAGCTGGTCTTTGGTAGGAGGCTTGCCAGACTGGACAAGGAGGCTTTAAACTAGATGTGTTGGGGAAGGGGGGCGTCATTCCATCCCATCACCCAGTCAGTTGTCAGCACCTATAATAATGCTCAGAGCATATGATATGATAGGCATCACAGAAGCACGGTGGGATGGCTCCTATGACTGGAGTGTTGGAATGGAAGGTTACAGACTCTTTATAAAAGACAGGCCTGGCAGACATGGAGGGGGAGTTGCCCTTTATGTTAGGGATAGGCTGGAGAGTATGGAACTCTGTCTGGGGACAGGTGAGCAGTCGACAGAGAGTTTGTGGGTCAGGGTTAAAGGGAAAACAGCGATGGGAGACATTACTGTGGGGACCTGTTACAGACTGCCTGATCAAGGGGAACGTGCGGATGAAGCACTCTACAGACAGATAGGAAAAGCCTCGCCCTCCCAGGCCCTTGTTCTCATGGGGGACTTCAACCACCCTGACATCTATTGGAGGGACGGTACGGCCCGGCACAAGCAATCCAGGAGGTTCCTCGATTGTGTGGAAGATAGCTTCCTTCTGCAAGTAATAGAGGAGCTGACAAGGAGAGGTGCCATGCTTGACCTCGTGCTCACCAACAGGGAAGGGCTGGTTGGAAATGTGACGCTCCAGGGCAGCCTTGGATGCAGCGATCAC